AGTTCATTGCTAATACTTTTCTCATCACATAGGAGACGAGCTAGATACGGTACTGTCAGGTTTTTTTTATATAGTGAAGAATGCATAAAGTCCTATGTACTAACTCCTCGTCTCTCCAAATGATTGACATGCACAGAGCTTTCGATGAAGCGAATGCTCGTCATCTAATAAAATAACTCCTGATAGATGTTTACGTGAGTTAATATGTTTGTCCATAACAGTTTCAATTAGAAGGTTTAGAGGTACACCACTACTTCTACTAACAGTCCCTTCAAAGTTCTACACAATATAGCATAGTCTTTTTTAAGCAACCCAGGAAAGAATAAAGGCGAGCAATAGAGGAGAAAAAGCAAGACGTGGGAGTTTGTAAAACTTAAGAGATGAGGCTGAGTTACACCAGATATGGGAGTATGAGGAAAGGTCCGAAAATAATACATACACACACCGAGATAAATCACACTTGTAACATCCTTCAATACACAACTAATAATAGAAAAGGAATCATGAGAACTAAACAGTTACATAAGTTATGTTCACGTCTGAAACTAAAGTTTACGGTGTGGTATTTTGTGGAATCAAGCAAAAGACCATTCTCGGAGTAAGACCGTCGTCTAACAGAAGATAGAAAGGACATCATTTAGTTGGGAACAATGTGTTGAAGAGGAGACAGGTCAGGTATGGAAACTGTTAGGTGATGAGTATATGTGATGAAATGGATAGCAGCTGAAGATGGTAGGTAGGTGATGTAGAAAGAATGGGAGAAGACAGAGGAAAGGGATGCCACCTCGAGGAACACCAGTCACAGTAAGTAATTAGGTGGATCGCTTCCTTCTGTGAACAATACACTGTTTCCTTTCAGAGAGATAGGAATACAGTCCATCGATAATCCAGGACTCAGTATATCTTCGGGCTAGCAGAAGAGATCTTAGTACAGAATGCAATGCCGAAGTATAGTCTAAAGTGACAGACAAGCTGACATACTTGGTATTTTTATCAGGATTATACGTCATCTTGTGATATAAGAGAGTGGTGGCATCCAAAGTGTGCTTCTTCTTCTTCTTCTTCTTCTTCTTCTTCTGTTTCTGTATGCAAATTGATTAGTGTATCCAAAAGGCTTCAATGAGTATACAAGTACAGGTATTATTAACGTGTCTATAATTTTCGAAAATGGAGAAGTAAGAGCAGTCGGACTGAACTTCGGACATGTGCCTAGAATCCCTGAATTATGTACTGCGATTATCCTTATATCCTTCCAGTCAGTTGGTATGGTGTTCTCTGAAAACAACATATTAATCATATTAGCTAATGGATGTTATTAAATATGAGCACACTCCCCCGAGTGGATAGCTTGACACACCATCCAGACCTGAACTGTGGGAAGGATTCACTAATTGGAGAGATTTGAAAACATCATTTGTGGTGAACTCTGGACAACATTCTGCATTGGTCATAGACAGACAAATTGGGGTCGAACAAGTGGATTGATGTAGAAACGATTTGTTCGAGACACAGATATCTATGTGTGCTTCTTTATTGAAGTGTTTACTACCACTGAGGTCTTCCAAACTTTTCCACATGTTGGAAGAGCTTTTGCATGACAAAGGTTTCTAGTTGCATAGTAGTAGATTGTGGCGTTAAATTTCCAGCCTAATTAAAACATTCAGTTGACAATTACCAGGATTACCCGGCTTTGTTTTTCTCTGCTTAATATCTTAAGCTGTGGAGAAAATATAGGATGTGAGAGTAGAAAAAGGTTTTCAGTGTTACAACAGATAAGCAGGCAGAAGTTGAGATAGCATGTTACACCATGAGTAGTATTGCTCAAAACATCGATGTCAAACATGTTCCAGTCTGTACATTTTAGCATTTCTCTTAGATTATATATGTTACTAAGTGAACGTGTAATGCAATGATCTGAGCTGAGTAGTTGGGATGTCTTTCGAGTTTCATGTATATCAGTATCAAATAGATTAGTCCCCGAAAACCTTTAGTAGGGGCTCGAGCATAGGTATTATTAGCTTTTGCATTATTTTTTTATTAACGGTGACGTAAATGGAATCGGAAAGAGTTTGGAACATCCACCTAGAGTCCTACATTTAGTTAGGGAAACTATCTTATTATCTTTTCAGGCAGTTGGTATGATATTTTCTGCAAAACAAATTCTCAAACTAAGACAAAACAGCTGTCCAATATTCTCAGGTTCACAATTCTTCTTCAACTAACGCTAGTCAATGATGAATACTACTCTGATATCAAATATATGTCTGCATATATATGAACAGAAATTTTCATTTTCCGGCTTGCGTGACTTGGGATAATCATAGTAACTGTGAAATTTTTTTCCCCACTATATTCTTATATTTTTATATTTATAGTTTAACTTTTGGCAAAGGAAATCTGAAAAACATTTCTACTGCTCCTTACATAATTTTATTCATACAATAAATGAATGATAATCCGGAAGTCTAAATAGAAAAATTAGTTATGGTTTACGGCTGGTGAATAAAGGTGAACTATGGTCTGTAGATTAGCTTAGCCTATTCGTTATGGTCAAGATAAGGCTGCCTACTATCGCCCATCGTCTTCCTGATTGTGGTTGACTGGATCATCCAGCAAATCGTGAGGAACAAGAAGACAGGCAAACAATGCACCGATGAGAAGACACCAAAATATTTAGATTTCCACAACGATGATGATGATTTATGCTGAATGTCTTGTAGCACAAACTCGAAGATGTGTAGGCGAGAACTAACGAGTTGACAGAAGAGGCGTGACGGCGTCAACGGGATTTCAAGTGAACACAGAGAGGACAGAGGTGATGAAGACACTCAACCAATAACAGGCACCAATCACCATCAACGGGAGAAACTTACACGAAGTGGTCTCTTTCACCCACCCACCCACCCACCTAGATAGCATCGTTTCAACTACAGGTGTTGGGTGGCACAGGTACAGATGAGGATGTCAAAGTCAGCAAGGATCGGAAAGACAGCAAGATAGGCATCACTGCATCAATCTGAAATCAGTGTGGAGATCAACTGCACTGCACTCAGCATAAAGCGTCAACACCACCCGGCTTTTCAAGACGAATTGAGTCAAGTGAGTCAGTGCTTGTATGTGATGGTTGAGAGTCTTGTCGTGTTACGAAAGGCATTTCCAACAAACTTCAGATATTCATCAACATCTGACTACACTGGCTCGTTACTGGAGCTCAGATGACCAGAACAATGAGAATAATGGAGAGGGGACTATGGATGGCTGGCTGGCTGGCTGGCTGGCTGGTCGGCAACGAACTAACGAAGCGAGAACGTATCGCTGAACAAATATGTTTGAGTAGGTGTAGATGGATTGTATTGGGCATGCACTGAGAAGACCGGTTATGGACATCACGCGTCAGGCGAGGTCAGGCGGTCAAGTGGAACTGGTCTGGGAAACGACGATTTGGGCATTGGAGGCGAGGGTGACATGGATGAGATGATGTTTGAGAAAGAAATGAGAGGTTGTAGGCAGTTGTGGAGCCAGGTTGAGGAGACTGGAGAGAAATGAGTAGAATGGAGACGTGCTACTAAGAACCCAAGGGATAAATAATAATAATAATAATAATAATAATAATAATAATAATAATAATAATGAAACGTAACTACACGTCAGTTCGCTTCAAAGGGGAAAGTCGAAGAAAGCAAACTATGCAAAGTAATGAATAGTTATGATATTTCAATTACAAAGTATACCAATGAGTAGCAGCCTTTTTATTGGAATCTACTACATAGATGAGCACAGGTATATAAATTTATACACGTTTATATAGATACATATATATATATATATATATATATATATACTCTATAGTAAATGAAAATCCAATCAAAAGATAATGTAAAATAATATTATAAAATAGAATTACATAGAAAAAACAAACAAACATAATTAGTCCTCTTTGATATAAAATAATACAAGTAGTAAGTTGATCGTCGAAACAAATTTCATCTATTTGTTCAATATTTTACAAGTTAGTATTGATTGTCTGAGAATTTATCCCCTTAGGCATATTGCCTAGTTAATTAATAACTATGATTTATCTTGTTTTCATTAACATTCTTGTTACAATCATAAAATAATAATAATAATAGTAATTAAATATATAATTATTTGAATTTTGAGAGAATTGTGGGAGATTTGAAAATAGTTCAACTTGTTATTCATTATAGACTGATATCAGCTGATGGAGGAACAAAGGAAATCTGGGAGCACTGGACAGTTAGCTGTTTCATTCGACTACTATAGAAATCCTCCGCTAGGGATAGAATCCACGATTTTCAGGTTCCATGGCCACTGGGTAGTCACAGTCCAATGGTCTACATTTCCAATTTCTACTGATGAGGACAGTTATCCAACGATCATATTGAATGACAATTGTGCTATAATATTGTGAGCTAACAAAAGTTGGAAATATGAACTATCGGCTGAAAGTCATGAGTTCGATCCCTAACAGGGTCATGGGTGTGTACTGCTGAAGAATTTTGATACTAGTCAGAGGAAACAGCTATCCAGTGCTCTCAGATTTCTTTTGTTCCTCTCCAACTCATATCAGTCTACAATAAATAACAACTTGAAATATAATTATTTCTTAATTATATTTCAAGTCCACAGGTCCACGGGACAAGAGGAACCAGTGGTTGGAGACTGACTCTAGGTGATATGGCTGAGAACCGATGTCAGTGGCGCAGATGTATACACACATTATCCTCATCTTAACAACGCTATACCAAATCTCACTATTTTGTCACTCCTCTTTCCTTTCTTCTCGTACTTTATATTTCTTTTGACTACATTCACTTATCTTCACCCTTCACCTCACTACTTTTTTACTTCATGTGCTGATATGAGGTGTGGTGGCAACTCGGAGGGTTACGCAGTAATGTCTGGTCCTATGTTGATAATGATGATGATGATGATGATGAATTATTTCTTAATCATAAAAAATACTTTTAAATAATCATTTATATTGAACATTGATAAGTAACTGAAGGGAATGTTTTAGCTGGAATAATTAGAATAGGTGACAAATTATTATTATCATTATTATTATTATTATTATTATTATTATTTGTATACAAGACATTTGAATCCAATGGAATAATAGAACATGTTGAAGGTAGATTATACATACTGGCAGATTGTGATGAGTACAATTCAATTGATGTTGGTTTATATTCAATAAATGTTTGTGATAATTCAATACTTGGAGATGTTTTCATTGAATTTTGTATATCTGAATGATATGATAGAAATGGTATTTGATTATAAGCAATATCATATGTTAATGGAATCATTGTTGTAGGAGATATAAATTTCGATTCATATATTGTTAGATTAGATGTTGATTGTTTATACTCCATAATGTCTGTACCATTTATTGATCTAAAATGAAAGTAAATTAGCAAAACATTAAACAGAAAAATTAACTATTCACTTAACACATTAATTGCCTAGCGAACTGTTTCTACAATCCTTTTTTCTCAGTTTTATGAAGAAGATGCTTAAATTTTTTGAGGGGGTTGTGGAGATTTGGAAATATTTCAAGTTGTTATTCATCGAAGACTGACATCAGTTGGAGGAACAAAGGAAACCTGGGAGCACTGGACAGCTGTTTCGTCCGACTAGTCTGGGACTCCTCAGCAGTGCGCACCCACGACCCCACCCCACCAGGGATCGAACCCGCGACCTTCAGGTTCCGCGACCAGCGCGTTACCATTGAGCCTTTGTTCCTCCAACTGATGTCAGTCTTCGATGAATAACAACTTGAAATATTTCCAAATCTCCACAACCCCCTCAAAAATTTAATTGAACTAGTGCTCGTTGGTGACTAGCTTCGAGAAGTATTCCCGAAGTTCCAATGACAAGTCGTGACCGGTGGAGTCAAAGCCTGATGGCCGTGAGGACAAATACTCAACGATGACATTGGGTGGCGGTTTGCGCTATATCGTGAGCTAACAGAAGTTGGAAATATGGAGCATTGTATTCTGACCCAGTGGCTCAATGGTAACGGGCTGGTCGCGGAACCTGAAGGTTGCGGGTTCGATCCCTGGTGGAGTGGGGTCGTGGGTGCGCACTGCTGAGGAGTCCCATAGTAGTCGGACGAAACAGCTGGCTGTCCAGTGCTCCCAGGTTTCCTTTGTCCTTCCAACTGATGTCAGTCTTCGATGAATAACAACTTGAAAGAAGATGCTAGTTGATTACTTTGTATATTTTACTTACTCCTATTTGTCAGATAACAGTGTAAAAACTGTTACCACCTCTTCTCAATAGTAGTTGTTACATTCAATTACGTAATAAATGAGCGTATAAAGTCAAACTGATTCGACTAAAATCTTTAAGGTTGTACACCATTGTGAAGTATGACAATCGCCTTTAATCTTGTCTATCTTATATTATCCCTCATCGACGTGTGTATAGACAAAATTACACCTTCTGAACTTCTAAAAACGATAATTTAGGTAAAATGATTGAAGGTGAAATGAAAATTTGGACCGCGGCCGGATTCGAACCAGCGATCACTGAATTTCCGACCATATATTCTACTAATTCAACTACAAGGTCCTACTGTTCACCAGATGCTTATTTCACTTCAATCATAAAGGGTTTTGCCAGACTAATTCGTAGATCAGTTGGTAGAGCATCGGGCCGGTGACTCGGTGGTCGCTGGTTCGAATCCACACGCGGTTCGGATTTTCATCTCACCTTCAAACAACACCCAGTGTCAATACTACTCTGCCAAACTACAGCTATCTCAGATCGTCTAATACTAATAATAAAGTTCCTTAGAACCTATGATTTTACGGTGCATATATCTTTTTAATAATCTTTTTTTCAAGTGGTAGTCTATGAGTTCAGTTTTAGATGGATGAATATACTCAAAAGTTTGTATAACTCTTCATGTTCAATCATTTATGAACAACCACTTGATAATTCTCCATTAGTTTCCCAACTATTTCGAGACTTACAAACACAAACCATTTCAAGTGAGGCTCAAAAATAATCCTCAAGTGTTAACTTGCTTGCTATAGATTAAGAGGGTTGCGATTTTGAATATGCTAATTTATACATTCAATCTTCTCTATGTCGTCTATCATTGAATCATGTAACAAACCATTTATTCATGTGCAAAGTATTTGATGCATTTCCATTTCCTAAGCCGACAGGAAGTACTGTGCTTCAGAATAAATATTATTCACATACCATAGTGAGTTAGTTAAGGCTTCATACAGAGTGCTATAACATTTGAACATAAAGTTCTAGTCTCACCCATTTATTGGGTGACGTTCTACGTACAATTCTGTATTTTCTGATTTCTCTGCTGATATCTATAGAAGTGAAAACTTCAATCTTAAATCCCTTTAAGGTAATGATGGATAGTGGCTAGCAACAGAATCCAGGATGCGGATTTCGTCCCATTTGGGACTCATCAACTAGATATACCTGCCTCCCAGTGAGTGATGTTGTTCCCACTGGTATATCCATCTAACTAGCCCCAAATAGGACGAAATACGTATCCTGGATTCCACTGCTAGCCACTGCCCATCATTACTATCAATAATTAATTATTATCGAGGCATCCGTACAGGAGCCCATATACCAACAGAGACTGATCAATTCGGTCCAATCAACGACGGTGTCATACAAGCAATAACAATAAGGGGTTTACTTGTTTGCATATTCAGATGATTTCTACAAAAGTGCTTCCACAGCTTAATGTTCAAGTATTATTCGACGAATACTTTTACATGTTTGCCAAAGAAAAAGATTGATGGTACTCAGTTCATGATAATACATAACTATTATCAATACTTTTGTGTATGTATATTATACACAATCGACTTAGTAACACTGTAGATTCAGTCAGCTGTTTACATTTCAGTTCAATCCAACAGTCCAACAACAAAAAGTGCAATATTTTTGCAAGCAATCATAACTTTAATCAAACCTACTACTTCTAGAAGACAATCATTTAAAGGTTGTAATCATACACCTTAAACCAGTGTGGAGATCTTCTGCACTCGGCATGTGGAACAAGATTCGGATACTCAACAACAACTCACTCAAGTCAAAGCTTCTGTTTGACTCACAGACTTGGCGTGTCACGAAAGGCATTTCCAACAAACTACAAACATCATACATCAACAACTACCACCTACGCTGACTCCTTTCTCAAGATCAGATAACCAGAACAATGAGAATCAGCAACAAGGAATTCTGGATTGGTAACGAACCAATGAAGAAGGAACCTATCGATGAACAAATATCCACTGGGAGGAAGTGGAGATGGATTGGATTGGATTGGGTATACACTGAGAAGGCTGATTGCGAACATCACGCCAGACCAGGCACTCGAGTAGAATCCAGACGGGAAACGATGATTTGGGGGTGGGAGGTGAGGGTGACCTGGAGGAGATCGTGTGAAGAAGAAATGAGAGCATTCGGGGTGACGCGGAGCCAGGTTCGAAAGACTGTGGAGAAGAGAGTGTAGTGTAGATGCGCTAGTGAAGCCGAATATTCCATTAGGAACCCAGGAAACAAATAATAATAATAATCACTTTTCAATATAAATATTTACATGAGACAATTTATCACTTACAAACATGAACTAACTGGTAATAGAGATCCATTTTCTATTGTTTTCTCAGGCAATTGAATACATGTATGAAAAAGATGTTTCTCTGTATTATGAAGTAAAGTCATAGTTGATGTATTAGTATTTCGATGTTGACGTAAGTAAAGAAATGCTAAGATAGTGCAAAATATTAGTAACACAATAAGGATTGCTAACACAATCAAACCCAATTTACTCTTCAATTTATGACTTGTTAAGTTTGGAGTTGCATCTGAAATAAGAAGTAAATTGAACAAGTAAGTTTACAATAAAATTTATCATTGTTACATTATATTATGACAACAACAACAACAAGCATCATCAACGAGAGAAATCTGAGGGAAGTTGTCTCTTTTACCTACCTACATACCTAGGTACCATCATCTCAAATACCGACGGCATAGGTACACGCCTAGATGGTGATGTCAAAGCCAGAATCGGTAAGACAGCAAGACAGGCCTTCCTTCATTAATTTGAAATCAGTGTGAAGATCTACTGCACTCAGCATAAAGCATGAACAACATCCGGATTTTCAACACCGATTCAATCAATGCGGCTTTATGATTGAGAGACTTGACGTGTTACGAAAATCACTTCCATCAGCGTAAAAGACATTCATCAACGGCTGATACCTACGCTGGCTCGATCCTGAAGATCGGACGGCCACAAAGAGTAAGTAACAAGGAACTCTGAGAACAAACAAATCAAGAACCTATCAACCAACAGATAAACAGAGGAAGTGGATCGGATTAGGCATACACTGAGAAAACCATTCGAAGACACCACGCATTAGGCCAGGCCCTCGAGTGGGACTGAAGGGTGAAACAACAAGTCGGGTATCCAAGGATGACATGTAGGAGATGGTGTGTTAGAAAGAAATGAAAGTTTGTGGGGATCTGTGGAGCCAGGTTGAAAAGACTGCAGAGAAGAGAGTGCAATGGAGATGTGCTACTGGAGCCCAAGGGACAAATAGTAACAATCAATCACAAAGTATCAAGAGGTGATAATTGATCAGGTAATAAAAACAATTAACTAAAACATAAGTGATTAATTATAGTAGAAAGATGCTGTGAAACTTTAGACAAGTTCTTACATAATTGATATTTTGTATAATGGTTACTAAAGAGTGAAAATGGTGACGGTGATTAGAGACAGTAGGGGGAGAAAAAGATGCCTAAAACTGTAACAATAATAATGATAACAATAATACAGCTATTAAAATATTAGTTATAATCGACTGTGGCATGAATGAAATGAAGGATGTTGTTGTAATAAATACAGCTATACAGATGGCTAAGACAAAGAAAGAGGCTGTACGAATCTCTTCTAAACACACAGACTTGGCTTGTTTAGGTGGATTACTATGGCTTCTATTGTATGTAAAAGACGAACTCGTAGAGCGTGAGTGAGGTGAGAAGGGATGTGATAAATAACTTTAAAGGCATTATGAATGTTAACTGGGTGGCCAGTGTCAAGCAGATGAGAGAGTATTGAGCTTCGTATTGATCTGGTTTGCCCTTACTTAGCCAGCGATTCGACTGTGGACTTGGCTAACTGTATGTCCAATATGTAACTAGCTCCACAGGAGCAGTTGAACTGGTAAATGCACATGGAAGAAGAGGAGTCAGGTAGTCTGTCTTCAATTCCCGACCTGCCGACCATACACTACACAGCACTACTTTGCGGCATTAAATGATCTTCTTACACTTCTTCTTACAGTTCCATCTGCCTTCCTTGTCAATCGGACATCTACGAAGCTGATGTTGTCGTCACTTTCTGCCTCAATGGTGAAGGTTACCGCTGGATGTACACTGTTGAATTTATCCAGTATAATTCTTGCATCGTTCTCATTATTCACAATCAAGAATGTATCATCTACATAACGACAGTAAATTCTAACCCGCTTATGATACTTTCCAGTGGGCCATTTTCTAATTTCACCAAGAAAAAATCTGCTAAGATTGGGCCTAATGGTGACCCCATAGTGACACCGTCTGACTGTCTATAGAACTCTTTGTTGAATAGAAAGTGTACATTAATTGTACATCGTAAGAGAAACTCTTTCAAGGTGGATGCCGTAATTCCAATTTCTTTTCCCATTCACTACATATAAAGTCTACAGTTTCTATCAAATGGACATTTGTGAATCGAGATGATATGTCTAAGGATATCATCGACTTATTATTCACATTCAAATCTCTTATTTTATCGATAAAGTGAAAAGTATCTTTGACGCTGTGCTTTACAACCCCTTATGAAATGGTTGGAAGAGTTGTACTAGCCATTTCACTGTCACATGATACGGATAATTTGGCATGTTAAGAATTGGTTGGAGTGGCAATCCATTCATATGCACTTTCGGTAAACCATATAACCTCGGTGTCACTGTACCAGTAGGTCTGAGTGTTTCATACACACTTTGTGAAATGAAGCCTTGCTGTTTCATCTTTTTTAAGGATTGAGATAATTGCCTCTCAGTCTTCTCTATCATGTCAGTTATTAGTACTATTATAATTATTTGTCTCCTGGGTTCCTAATGGAATATTCGGCTTCACTAGCACATCTACACTACACTCTCTTCTCCACAGTCTTTCGAACCTGGCTCCGCGTCACCCCGAATGCTCTCATTTCTTCCTCACACGATCTCCTCCAGGTCACCCTCACCTCCCACCCCCAAATCATCGTTTCCCATCTGAGTTCCACTCGAGTGCCTGGTCTGGCGTGATGTTCGCAATCAGCCTTCTCAGTGTATACCCAATCCAATCCAATCCATCTCCACTTCCTCCCAGTGGATATTTGTTCATCGATAGGTTCCTTCTTCATTGGTTCGTTACCAATCCAGAATTCCTTGTTGCTGATTCTCATTGTTCTGGTTATCTGATCTTGAGAAAGGAGTCAGCGTAGGTGGTAGTTGTTGATGTATGATGTTTGTAGTTTGTTGGAAATGCCTTTCGTGACACGCCAAGTCTGTGAGTCAAACAGAAGCTTTGACTTGAGTGAGTTGTTGTTGAGTATCCGAATCTTGTTCCACATGCAGAGTGCAGAAGATCTGTCATGTCAGTATTGATTGATAATTTCCAAAACTTACCGTGATCACTAACAGGGCTGTTCATTTACAATCTTTAGTTACCTTCATACAAAATATCAATTGTGTAAGAACCTGTTTACAATTTCACAGCATCTTTCTACTATAATTAATCTCCTATGCTTTAGTTAATTGTTTTAATTACCTGATCAATTATCACCTTCTTGATACTTTGAAATTGATAACCTTTCATTAGACAACTCTCACTACTAGACTTGTGTGTAATTTTAAGTTTGAAAATGCCACATATATTAGTACTACTGTGTGATGATTAAAGATAGGATAAAAATCTGAACCGTGATCGGATTCGAACCAGCGACCCTCCGGTTATCGGCCCAATGGCCTTCTAACCGAACTACTATGTTCGACTGCTGACCAGAATTTATTTCACTTCAATCACCAACGATGTATAGTCATTAATGCGAAACTAATTGAAAAGAAATATTTCTTTGCTCATATTGTTTGTTTTACTAAATGATTACAGATAGTAAGTTATCCTGTATTATGTATGAATAATAAATAAAGGCAACTATACAGTTTATGCTTTCATACATTATACACGATAACTTCAATCATCATACCTTTATGAAAAAGTTTTGTTTGATAACAGACATTCGATTGATTCTTTATACATGTCCAAACACGATAGGCGAAATGATTATCCATATGTAAGATGATATTGTCGTGTGAATTACTCAAATCATTATTACTTGAAGTATTCAATGAATTCTGAGCTAAAGTTTAAAGGAATGAAATCATAACATGAATTGAAAAACTTTGATTTTATGAATAAATGAAGTTATTTATAACATCAGAATATAAACTTTCATCTCACAATCCAAACGTATACGAACAAAGTTTATAAACAATGTTGAGAGCCCTCAGAACAAGACAAACTAACCAGGTAGGACGTCAGATATAAAATATATCTCATCACTTGTCTTCATAAACAGCCTGTCAATGAATAATGTCATCACTCAGCTAAAGAAAGTCTACTGATTCAAGGCTTTTTTGATCCAAACATTACTATAAACTTTCACATCTTCCAAACAAGATATCATACCGAATAGGCTGATGTATTTTGGCCGGACTGGAACCAGCGACCACTGGGTTCGAATCCCGCTGCGGTTTAGGTTTTCATTTCACCTGTAATCATCACCGAGTATTACTTATTCACTATTACTTTCAGTTTCTTTGATCTTTGCATAATTCAGGAACTTCGTATTTGTTTTTCCATGCCTTAAGCAGTCACCTTCATCGGTCCGTAGACTTTATTGATTTTCTAGGCATACTTTACGTGGTTATTATTCATTAATATATACTTGTAATTCCCCGTTGTTTAATTGGATAGAATTTTTGGACCTCTTTCAGTATATGGGCTGCTATGTGGATGCCTCGATATTACCTGAATGTTAATTATAACTCAAGCAAATGATCATAATCAGTATTGGGATGATACACATACAAAAGATCGCAAGAGTAGCCTTTACTTTACTGAGGGCTAAGAGATAAGTGACGCTTGGATATGTTCTTTCTGAATGTAAAGTTCAGGATTGATCAGTCTTTATACGACAGCCTCCACTATGTTGACCAGGCGTTAACGAGCAAGACGTGGCATCGTTTTTGTAACACAATGAAAGACATTGACAGCTTCATTAGCATCTATGTGACACTCTATGTCAACTAGATGTTCTAGGATTGACCTTTTCACCACTTCCACTTCTCCCTTTTCTAACCAAGTTGATAAATCCCGTCGTATCATTCAGTAGACGATCAACCCAAAACTAAAGTATAACCTACCTAATCTTAGCTCTTCACCTTGGATATACCAATTTAACTGTTCCTGTGCACCTAGTTATATAGGGCAGACAATTAAGCAGGTGCGTCTCCAGATACGAGAGCATTTACTAGCTTGGTTCAGAAAGGATGAAGTTAAAGTGGTAAAAAGGCCAGTCCTAGCGTGCGTAGTTGACATAGGCCATCATATAGATGTTAATAAAGCTTTCAATATCATTCATCGTTTTCCGAAACGACACCTGATGTAGCTCACCAACACCTACTCAACATAGTGGAGGCTGTCGCAATAAGATTGATCAAGCCTGAACTCTGAATTCAGAATGAACATGTCCAAGCCTTAATTCTCCTTTAGCCTTCAGCAAACTAAAGGCCACTCACCATCGTATTGTTCTTCTGTATATGTATCATCCCAATATAAACTAATTTAAGTCGATTTCCTTATAATCCCTAAATCTCACTCCATTTTGAAAATGTAACTGCCCCTAATATAGCTTGTTTCTACTCTGTACAAATGGAGATTGTAATTTTAAGACCTGAAGAGAATATTCACTGAGAAGAATATTCTTCATTGTCCAGATTGTTGCTTTCATATTTGAAACAGTTATTCTCTTTTATGAATTTCGGTAGCGGAATTAGAAGACGAAATACAGGAGTAAGACAATGCTGCCGCCTGCTATCATCGATTACCTTCTTGATTGTGGTCGACTGGATCATCCAGCAAAACTGTGAGGAACAAGAAGAGGGGGATAAGCTGGACGGGGGAAAAGGTCATAGAAGATTTGGACTTTGCCAGTGATGACTTATGTCTAATGTCGCATAAACTCAAGGATCTGCAAGCAAAAACTAAAACGTTGACAACGAAAACGGGACTTCAAGTGAACGTAGAGAAGACGGAGGTGATGATGATACCCAACCAACAACACCATCAACAACAAGAGGCACCAATCACCATAAACGGGAGAAACCTAAAAGAAGTAGTCTCTTTCACCCACCCACCTAGGCAGCATCGTTTCAACTACAGGTGGCGGCACAGACGAGGATGTCAAAACCAGGAACGGAAAAGTAAGACCGACCTCTTTGCATTGATTTGAAATCAGTGTGGAGATCTACTACACTCAGCACAAAGAACAACACTCGGATTTTAACATCAGCGTCAAGTCAGTGCTTCTATATGATGGTTGAGAGACTTGGCGCGTCACCAGAAGCATTTCCAACAAACTACAGACATCATACATCAACAGCTGCCACCTACGCTGGCTTGATACTGGAGATCAGATGGCCGGAAAGAATAACCAAGGAGGAACTCTGGCAACCAACCGATGAAGCGAAAACCTACCACCCAACAAATATGCAGGTGAAGAAAATGCGGATGGATTGGGCATACGCGGAGAAGACTGACTAAAAACATCACGCACCAGGCCAGACCCTGGAGTGGAATTCAAAGAGGAAGCGACAAGTTGGACGTCTGAGGCGAAGGTGACATGGAGGAGGTAGTGCGAGGAAGAAATGAAAGCTTGTGTGCAGCCGTGGATGCCGGTTGAAAAGACTGGAGTGAAGAGATTGGAATGGAAGCGTGCTACTGAAGCTCTGTGTTCCACTAGGAACTCAAGGGAAAAATAATCATGATAGTAATAATTAGAAGACGAAGTTTATCTGAACAGTGTGTGGTGTATTTGTGCAACAGACAGTTCGAACAATTTGATCACACATTTGCTTGTCAAGTCAAATTATATCCAACCGAGTAGTCAGAGAACAAATACAACAATTAAAGCAATAGGGGATTAAAATTAGGAAAGATGAGAACAAACAGAAAGTGACCTAGTTGATAGTAACCCTGGTAAGAAAACAAAGTTAACCAAGGTATTGTTCTTCTACATATAAAGATGGCTTTAGTTCATGTATGGCTATGGCTTCCTCAGATCTCAGTATACGTCCTTGATTGTTTCTATACAAAACTTTGAAAGCTGTGTGGACATTAACTTTGTGACCTATTTCTATGATATGTTTAGTTATAGATGAAGAGCGTCGTCTCTCATTAGCGTCTGTCACTGTTTCACACATCATTTGTTCTCATCTTTCTTAATTTTCTTCTATTGTATCAGTTGTTGTATTTATCCCCCCACTCCTCGGTTCGATATATATTAACTTAACAAGTAAATGTGTGATCAAATTGTTTGAAATGTGTATAACTCAAATGCATCACATTGTTCAGATGAACCTCATCTTCTAATTACGCTGTCGGAAATAACCCATATGCCAATAGAGGTCGAATTATTCGATCCAATAAAACAACGGAGAATTACAAGTTTATCAATGTATAGTAATAACTAATACCGATTCTATAAGGACTGGCTATCGTGTCTCCGTGGTATAGTGGATAACACTTCTGCGTTTGAAGTGATGGGTAAGAGGTTTGAATGTCAGTGGGGACAGCATCATTTGGCACTGGGATGCAGGTACATCCAGCTGATGAGTCACAAACTGGATGAAACGCGTATGCTGAATTCTCCTGCTAGCCACAACCGAGCAAATAACACTTTATATGATCTGTATATTTATTCTAATATCCTGTGTAGAGAATCTTTTTGCTTGAAATATATCTCCCTAGTGAATTAACATAAAAATTGGTTCATCTGGTAAGTGTTATACGAAAAACTTCGTAAAGAAAGTGGATTCTTATTACTATTATTATTATTTCCTAAGGCGCTATTTTATATCAACTGAATAGCCTAGAAGCAGGAAACATTCTCACTTACTAAGGATTTACCTAGATGTATATAAAATCTGGGAATAATACATAAAATTGCTCCGTCACTGATTCAGTAGCTTGCCCTGACCAACTGGTATGTGAACGGTTGGTTCCTTTGATTGTCGTTTGGTCGACTGAATACACAGACTTTCTTGTTGGCTGTTCCTCTATTTCAAATCTCACCCTTCTGTGGTTTGTCATCTTTCTCATCATTTGATAAATTCGGTCTATGTCTATACGTCTATTAATTAGTGACTGACTGACCTGAACGCCAAGCTTCTAGGAATTCCCCAATGATATTCTGTGTTTCCTGTCTTCGTCCAACATTTCGACATTGTCAAAATTCAATCCATGTCCACAGTTGTTATCCACATCCGTTGAGTGATGAAATGTGGTGTGTGACGTTCAGTAATCAATTGATGTTGATATCGACGAAGGCGAAGGTGTGTGACCACTTTGTCCAGTGTGTAGTGTTGATCACAGTCATTGCAATTGATTTTGTAAATGACAGTCGACTTGTCTTCTTTCGCTGTTGCATCCTTTGGTCTGAACAATAGTGTGTGGAGGGAATTTGTTGGTTTATGAGTGACCATACCAATTTCAAGTGGTCTCAATAATCTTGTCATGATTTCTGATATATTCCTTATGTACGGTAGGATGATACGTTTATTGATTTCTGTCGGTGGCTTTATAATTGATGACGTATGGGATGGGCATCCAAGAATGGTAGTTGGTTGTTTGACTCTTTCTCCACTGTGAATTTGATGTCATTGAAAACGTTGTTGATCAAACTGTGGGTGTTTTCTATATCATCCTTTTTAATGATGACAAAAGTGTCGTCTACATAAAGAACCCAAATTTCTGGTTTGATCACCGGTAGAATAATGGCTTCGAGTATCTGCATCACTGCTTCTGCTATTAATCCGGATATCGGTGATCCCATTGGAGTTCCTTTCATCTGTTTGTATATCTTGTCGTTGAATTGGAAGTATGTTGTCATACAAAGGTCGATGAGTTCCATCAAACTTGAACATTTGAATTTTGTGCATTCTGAAAAGGTTTGTGCCTTCATTGAGGAGAAGAGATTTTGTTTCCTTGGCCAACTGGCATTCGATGGTTGTATGTAGTGCTGTGACATCGAAGGACACCATTAATTCGTCGTTCTCTATACTGATATTCTAGATCTTTTCTAAGAATTCCGTTGGTGACTTGATCGAATGTCCGCATAACTAAACAAGACGTTTCAGTTTTCTTGAAAGTTCTTTTGACATGTTGTATGCTGGATTTCATGGAAGTAAGGCTGTTGGTCCTGGATGTATGTCTAACAAACGATATGTCCCTTTGATTTCATCCGCCATTTGCCTTGGCTTTGTTATTTCCTCTGTTCTGACGAGTTTCTTCGACGTTTTATTGATCTGGTTGCAGACCAAAGGATGCAACAACCAAAGAAGACAAGTCGACTGTCATTTACAAAATCAATTGCAATGACTGTGATCAACACTACACGTTGGACAAAGTGGTCACACACCTTCGCCTTCGTCGATATCAACATCAATTGATTACTGAACGTCACACACCACATTTCATCACTCAACGGATGTGGATAACAACTGTGGACATGGATTGAATTTTGACAATGTCGAAATGTTGGACGAAGACAGGAAACACAGAATATCATTGGGGAATTCCTAGAAGCTTGGCGTTCAGGTCAGTCAGTCACTAATTAATAGACGTATAGACATAGACCGAATTTATCAAATAATGATAAAAATGATAAACGACAGAAAGGTGAAGCTGAGTAGCACCATACAACAATCAAAGGAAACAACCACTGACAAACCAGTTGGTTAGGGCAAGCTACTCAATTACTCATGCAGTGAGGTTACTGTTGATGATGTTATTATCTAGAAAGACGATGAAAGCTTCTGTACGACTTAACAACCCAGTTGATGGAACGAAGTACAATCGAAACCACTTCTCTACTGTTTATTAGACTTACCATTTTCAAAGTTAGGAAACACTGAAACTTGTTTACGATGATGTTTAAACTTTTTTGAGATATCTGACAAATTCGGATCATCTGAATTAGCCTGTGAATGTTTATTATTCATTTCATTGTTATTATATGGAATTGTTTTATGTACCTTCATAATCCTCGAGGATTGTAGCTCTCTAACTAAATATCCGTTAGTATTATTCATGACTAGAATATTTTCAATTATCACTTCAAAATTCCTTAAAGTATTCTTGATTACTGTTGAAGACGATTTGATTTCTCTATGCATTTGACATGTATCCAATAAAATGGACCAATTCATTCGATCCGACTGTGAATACTCCGTTTTTATACAGAATAACTGTGAATCATTTGAATGCATAAATTGTATATTCATCAAATTGTTTTGTTGATTTGTTGTAATAACTTGTGGAAAATGAAGAACTATGAAAGAGAGAGAAAAAAGAAAGAGAATGACAATTCTACGCTTCAACTTCTAATAACGTTTGGTTTGGTTACTTTGTTAAACAACAGACAGTCGCTCTTTAAAAGAAAAACACTGTAAATGTGAAAACTACAACGTTAAGGATAGATGAGACCAGTTTATCCCTTGGCTTCATAATGGAATATATGCCTTTAGTAGCAAGTCGCTATTTCACTCTCTTCTTAATCTGGCTCCACGACTGTCAATCAGCTTTCATTTCTCCCTCACACCATCCGCTTCACGTCATCCTCCGACACCAAACTAGTCCTTTCGCATTTGGCTTCCACTAGAACATCTGGCACTTGACATCCTCAAACAGTCTTCTCAATGCATGTCCAATCTATTTCCACTCTCTTCTTCTCTACATTTCTCATGCGATAGTTTCTTGCTTAGTTGGTTCGTTGCCAGACCAGAGTTCCTCCTTGCTTATGCTTTCTAGCCTTTTCGTCTTCAGTATCGAATGAGCATAGGCGGCAGTTGTTCATCTATGATGTCTGCAGTTTGTTGCGAATGCTTTTCGTGACGTGCCAACTCTCTTAACCATCACACGGAAGCACTGACTTACTTGACTGATGATGTGTTAAAAACCCACATCATGAGTGCACTAGATCTCTACACTGAAGGCGTTTCATGCTGTCTTTCCTATCCTAGCTTTGAAGTCCTCATCTGTGCCTGGGCTATTTGCATTTGAGACGATGCTGCTTCCTAGGTAGGTAGGTAGGTAGGTGCATGAAAGAGAACTTCCTTCAGATTTCTCCTGGTGTTGTTCGTGGTGGTGGTTGTGTACCTTCATCACCCGTGTCTTCTTTACGTTCACCTGAAGGGAGTCTCTTTCTTTCTTCAATACCCTACCTCTCCTGCCAACTTTTTTAGTTTTCGCCCGTACATCTCCGAATTTGTGCAACATAAGACATCAGACATAAGTCACCATGAGCGGAATGGAAATCTTCTTTTCCTCGGTCAAACTGCGTATGCCCATCTTCTTACTCCTCATAGTTTGTTGCATGATCCAGTCGACCACCATCAGGAAGATGATTAGTGATGGTAGATGGCAACCTTATTTTACCTGTCAACCTGTCTTCATTTCACTTCAGTGGCATCATTGAGCTTTCGATCGTGAGTCACTTCGTACACAGCTGTTGTTGAATCAGATTGATAAATGTTTGTGACACTAAAACTGTAGTGTTGAAGCAGCCCGCAAATTACTTCCCGGTCGACGCGTTGAAATAAACACCAAATAGTTGTGCAACAGAAATAATTGAAATGATACACTCATTAAAATATCCACGTACTTCACCATTAGTTCAAAATACACTTTACCTTTAGTGGTAATTGTATATTCTTCGGATTTTCTCCCTTGACCCAGAACATTCCTTGCATACATTACGAATTTGTATCTTGTATTTGGAGCTAAGCCTGTCAAGGGAAAATAAAGAATGAAAATATCACCGGTGGCTATAATCTTCGTCAAAATTACTTTCTAACTTCCTGTATGTGTGTGTAGGTGTGTATGAATAATAAATTATCAAGAAATTATTCACAATTTGTACTGCCTAGCTCGTAGAAGAAATAATGTTCAATATATATTGAGCATTCACCTCGCCTGATTAACTAGTTCGCTAGTTACTAGCCGGTCCTAAGTTTGAATAAAGAGGGAAGGTTGGGCATACGGCCAGCAACCGTACCCCGTAAAACCAAGAGAAAACTGTAATCAATACTAGACAAGACTCCAGTTGGCGACATCAAAATTCTAATGGGCGACATGAATGCTGAACTTGGAGCGAACAACACAGGATGAGAACCAATCATGGGTGGGGAAGCACTTGGTGAAGTGAATGAGAACGGAGGACGTTTTGCAGATTTCTGAGCATACAACAATTTGGTGATTGAAGGCGAGGCAGTGTGTACAAACACAAGGATATTCACAAAGTGAGCGACATGGATTTAATTTCACCAGACACCAGGACACTACACTAAAAATCAGATCGACTTCATCTCAATGTGAAGAGAGTGGAGACGCAGACAGCCTACTGGATACAAGATCAGATCAAGAAGGGGAGCAGATGTAAGTTCACACCACTCACTATCTAGTGCAAGGAACCTTTCAAATCAAGTTGGAAGCCTTCAAAAAGGTCGGTGACTGGTCACAGTTCAAGTTCAATACCCAGAACATCAAGTAAATTGAAGAACGAAACTACAAAGGACATCTTAACGTCAGCCATCAGAACAAAATGGGAGACACTCATCACCTTCTTGATTGTGGTCTAGTAGATCATGCAGCAAACTGTGAGGAGTGAAAAGATGGGCCTACGCTCCCTGTTTGACCAAAGAAAAGACCCTCGAACATTTGGATTTCGCCCATGATGATTTATGTCTAGTGTATTGTGTCGCACAAACTCGAAGATTTACAGGCAAAAACTAACAAGTTGACAGAAGAGGCAAGACAGTGAATACGAGACTCCATACAGATGAAAGTAGAGAAGACAGAGGTGATGAAAATACCCCACCAACAACAGCAACAACAATAACAAGAAGCACCAATCACCATGACCAGGAAAAATCTAAAACAGGTCCCTTTCACCTTCCTACCTACCTACCTACCTACCTACCTACCCACCTACCTACCTACCTACCTACCTAGGTGGCAGCATCGTCTCAAATACAGGAGGCTGCACAGGCACGGATGAAGAAATCAAAGCCAGAATTAGAAAGACAGCAACGAGGGCTTTCCTTTATTAATCTGGAATCAGTGTGGAGATCCACTGCACTCAGCATAAAGCGTGAACAACATCCGGATTTTCAACATTAATGCAATCTATTCAGCGCTCCTAAATGGTTCAGAGACTTGGCGTGTCACGAAAAGCATTTCCAACAAACTACAGACATTCATCAACAGCTGACGCCTACGCTCACTCGATACTGAATATGAAGATCAGATGGCCAGAACAATGAGAATAAGCAACAAGGAACTCTGGCTGACTGGCAACGAACCAACGAATAAACTATCACCCCAGAAATATGCCCTGGACAAAAGTGGAGATAGACTAGGCATACAGTGAGAAGGCCGATTGGGGACACTACGCGTCAGGCCAACTCGTCGTATGGAATCCAAAGGGGAAGTGACGAGTTGGGCGTTAGAGGCAACGGTGACATGGAGGTGGTGTGTGGAAGAAATTAAAGGTTATGGGCAGTCGTGGAGCCAGTTTGAAAAGATTACAGAGAAGAGAGTGCAGTGGAGGCGTTCTAATGAAGCCCTATGTTCCACTAGGAGCCCAAGGGAAAATAATAATGACAATAATTATGTATATACATACGAGTGTACAGCATGAGAATAAATTCGTTGAAAAGAGTCTTCCTCTTTGGTGGATATCTTGTTTTCTGTGTCACACTTGGGATTATGAACATGTTAATAGCTCAATTAAATTGTTTCGTGGAAGTCTATCAAAGGAAACCTCCACGCAGTTTAAAATTCCTTTGACAATATAAAGATATACAGAACTTCACATTCAACACTACAAATAGTACAGTAGAAAAACATTGACTAACCTGATATTTCACATCGTTGTTTTATTGGTATTTTTGGCACCTGGTTTATTTCGATTACTTTAGGTAAACTCTTGACTACACAATTATTGAACAATGTCAAGTCATGATTATCAAGTTTGAAAATCTCTAAGAATTCTAGGATAATAGTTTGATTGTAACCACCATCAAATCCTGGTATCCAACTGAGTGTAAATCTATCCCAAGAGACATTTTCGATTTCAATATCTTTTGGTGTTTCAGGAGTACCTGTAAAAGAAACATCATTGTATAAGTTGAGCATAGATTTCTCAAAGACACCGTCAAATGTATCAATCAAGTAGACAAGAGTTAGAAGAAGAACCTCGAACCAAACTTCAGAGGATGACATTGGAGTTATTTTATTTTTTTATCATTTTGACTATCTGAGATATCAGGCGTGATTTGGTAGACTGAAAATTTGGATTGTGGCCAGATTACAACTAGCCACGACCAGGTTACCTACCCGATGCTCTACCAACTCAACTAGGAGGTCCGACTGCTGAGGAGCTGTTGATATCATTTTGATTTCAAACTACGTCCAAACAAAATAGGTTCGATTGTCGATGTGAAGATATGAGAGTCATAGTTTGACAGAGTTGTATTATCGCCGTAACTAGATTCCAATCAGCCACTTACCCATTGTTCCAACAACTGAGCTACAAAGTCTTGTCTAAGAAAAAAATTTTTAAACAAAGAAGATTTGATGCCTTACCAAGTAGTGAAATCTGAATAGATGGGAGGAAACACCTCAGCGTTTGGAATGATAGGTACGAGGTTCGAGTCTCAGTGGGAACAACATCACTGACTGGAGTGCAGGTACATCCAGCTGACTGGTGAGTCCCAAATAGGACGAAATGCTCGTTCTGGATTCTTCTGCTAGCCATAACCAACCAAATTAGAATAATGGTGATATCTTTAAAAAGGACGGCAACACTATTTCCAAATTTTTATTCTTCCACGACTTCATCGTAAATATTTTGAATCCTGAGCATTTTTAAAACGAAGTTAATCCTTCTTGCTACCATTTCTATTCCATCTTGCGAATAATTAGACTGGGAAATCGATTCCATATATTAGATTTGTTTATTTCATTCATGGCGATACAGTATTATCTACTTGATGACGACTTTTCCAGCATAAATTATCATTGCTTATAATCATACCTCAATGTGTAATCACAACACTGTCGATATCTGAAGTTCTATAGTTACATGACTTCATATGATTTCTTTTTATTGATAGTCAGTGTGTTGCGTCATTTCTGTTACATGGGTTGGGTGTTGGTTGATTCGATGAAAAGGGATTCAATAATCAACACACCTCTACCTCCACCGAATTATATTGAACTGAAGTTCAGTGGCTTTATCCCACCCACCCTATTGTGGGGTTGCGTGTTAATGCATGGGTTGAAATAACCTACTGCTTAACTAAATTATTAATCTTATTCGGGTTTGTCATTCTATATTTAGCTAAGATCCTATGTTCCACTGATCTAACTGACCCCAACCGACTAGTTTCACCTATGTACTTGACCTCGCAGTCATTACATGGACTTTTTCTGAATTGGTTCTATCGGATCCTTAAGATAGGCGACAAAGCTTATCTCTGAGTGAGTTTGTAGGCCTGAATGACACCCCAACTAATTCCAGTTTTGTTGAGAATCTTGCATAAAGTTTCTGATGTTCCTTCCTTCCTTATAAAGTAACACAAGGGAGGCGTTGAACTTATTTCTACTCGTGTTGTCGTTATTATTCATACTCGTGTGGATGCTATTTCTTCGTTCTACAGGTGAAAGCCAACAAGCTGACAGAAGAAGCAGGGCAGTGAATACGAGACTCCGCTCACATGAATGTAGAGAAGACAGAGGTGATGAAAATACCCGAACAACACCAACAACAAGCACTAGTCACCATGAATGGGAGAAATCTAACGAAATTTATCTCTTCCACCTACCTACCTAGAAAGCATCATCTCAACTACAGGCGGTGGCGGTAGTACAGATGAGGATATGAAAGGCAGGATCGGAAAGACAGCAACACAAGCCTTCCATCATTAATCTGGAATCAGTGTGGAGATCAACTGCACTACACTCAGCATACAGCGTAAACAACATCCGGATTTTCAACACTAATTCAGTCAAGTAAACCAGTGTTTCTACGTCATGGTTGAGAGACTTGGTGTCTTAGGAAAAGCATTTCCAACTAACTTCAGACATACATCATCAACAGCTGCCGCCTACGCTCACTCGATACTGAAGATGGAGATAAGATGGCCGGAATATTAAGAATAAGCAAGAAGGAACTCTGGCTGGCAACAAATCGACGAAGCAATCAACAACTTATCGCTTAACAAATATCCAGAAGAAGAGAATGGGGATGAATTGGATTGAACATACACTAAGAAAACTGTTTGGGGACATCACATGACAGACTCTCGAGTGGAAGCGAAATGAGAAAGGACGAGTTAGGCGTCCAAGGGTAACGTGGAGCAGATCATGTAAGGAAGAAATGAGAGCTGATGCGCATTCGTAGAGCCAGGTTAGAAAGACTTCAGAGCAAAGAGAGTGAAATGGTGACGTGCTACTGAAGCGCTATGTTCCATTAGGAATCCAAAGGACAAACCAATAGTAATAAAATTTTAGCACATCTTTTTACATAACACTGAAATAGATTTACTTACTGGAATTTTGTACGACAACAATACAATACTGACATCCTTCAGTATCCTGTATTTCAACGATATATATACCAAGTTTTAAATTCATCATCTTGTCACTAATTACATGATGACTGACTTTGATGAAACTATCAATTGTCTCCTTTCGATACAAACAGACAGGCAGCCAGTGATGATATTCATCATCTGATGATGAGGAGATTCATTACATCCCCCTTTTATCATGTTACACTACAACACCAAAACCCACCCCAATCCACCACCAACCCTACTCTACCCATACAAATTACAATCACCCTAACACCATATCACACAACACTACTAATCTCCCTCCCCCCCCCCACCATATCAATCTATCATAGATAGTTAGCTGACCTGTTTCAATGTTGCAGCCTGTTATTCATACAAAACTCAATCATCATCATCATCATCACCATCATGATGCTGGTGCCTGTCCAAATTCGTACATAGCTTGCAAGCTAGCTAGCCAGCTGGCTAGCTTCATATGACGGTTTAATTTAAGCACTTGTAGGTACTAAGCTAAGCTAAGCCAACGAAGGCTTGCAACGTCTAATTTCACACTACATACACTACTTTTCTGTCTGTCTGTCTGCCTGCCTGTCAGGCTGTCTATCATTCTCTCTGGTACATTATCCAATCAGCCAGTCATTTTATCAGATCAGATCTGATCAGATCAGCTTACTGATTCGATTAAACAACACCCGTACCTCTGGTCCCCCATGTCACTGAGTCCAGTCGTCAGTCCACTGATTCGATTGACTATTGTGAAAGGGAAGAAGGGTTAATGGAAATAATCATAACATTTCAGCACATCTTTTTTTTAACATATATATTACTGAAATAGATTTACTTACTAGAATTTTGTACAGTAACAATACAATACTGACATCCTTCAATATTTTGTATTTCAGCGATATATACATCAAATTGTGTAACATTAATCCCAGTTAAAATTAAACTAGTCGAATAGAATGTTTCCATGTAGGATAGATTTATATTAGCATAATTTTTCATTTCATTGCTCATCTCTTGTCTTGATTTCATTTCGATATAAACATTTTCGACAATACTCTTATTCAATTTATTATATATAATTATTGTTTGATATAGATTTATAATATTTTGCTGACAAATATGTTTTGTAAGAAGATCTTCAAGAAGATCATTAGATAATAATCTTTTCAATGGTATATAAAACCAAGTAATTTGTATCGGTTCAGGATATGATTTAAATATACATGTCAACTTGGATTGATGTATTATATTCAAATTTGTAAAAATATTCTCCTTTTGTTGTTTAACTGAAGACGTCATTGAATGTTTTGTATTGATCACTTCCATAGAATTTAATGAATACTTCAGAAGATTCTTATGAATCAGAATCGGAGGATCTAGACATGTTGAGAAATATAATCAATTGACTTGAATTGATGAATATATAAGTATAACAATCTATACAACAATATGTATATATTAATTATAGTAATAAAGATAAAAAGGTACCAGCGATTCGGTTAATTTTTTATTAGAACAAGACGTACATACATACGAACATATGACCTCAGTAGTACATCGCCATTCCACTCTGTTCTTTGCAGTCTTTTCAACCTGGCTCCATGAAAGCCCACAACCTCTCATTTCTTCCTCACATCACCTCTTCCATGTCATCCTTGCTTTGGACGCCTAGCCTCATGCATTACATCCCCGAATGATGTTCTCAGTGCATGCCCAATTCATCTTCACTTCCTTCCAGGGCATATTTGTTGAGCGATAGGTTCTTGCTTTGTTGTTTCGTTGCCAGAGTTCGTTGTTGCTTATTCTTCCTGACCATCTGAGCTTCAGGAATGATCCAGTGTAGGCATTTGTTGATGAATGTCTGTAGTTTGTTGGAAATGCCTTTTCGTGACACGCCAAGTCTCTCAGCCATACAGAAGCACTGACTTGATGTTTGTGTTGAAAATTCGGATCTTTTTCAGGCTCTTTGCTGAGTGCAGAAGATATCCACACTGGTTTCAGGTTAATGGATGCACGTCTTCCTTTTCCGATCCTGGCTTTGATGTCTTCGTCTGTGCCGCTGCCACCTGTATTTGAAGCAGTGATGCCTAGTTAGGTGTAGGTGAAACAGGCTACTTCCTTCCCGTTTCTCCTATTGATGGTGATTGCTGCTTGTTGTTGATGGTGTTGTTGTTTGGATATCTTCATCATATCTGTCTTCCCTAAATTCACTTCAAGTCCCGTCTTCGCTGTTTCTCCTGTCAACTTGTTAGTTTTTGTCTATTCACCTTCGAGTATGGGCGACATTAGACATAAATCATCACCAGCGAAATCCAAATTTTTTAGGCTCTTTTCATCGGTCCAGCGTATGCCCGTCTTCTCACTCTTCACGGTTTCCGCATGATCCATTCCACCACAATCAGGAAGACGATGGGTGGTAGTAGGCGGCAGTCTTGTTTTACTCCTATCTTCACTTCGAATGCGTCACTGAGCTTTTCCATGTGAATTACTTGGCATGTGGCGTCTTCATATAGTTGTTGAATCACATTAAAAAGGTTTGTGGTATTCCGTAGTGTTGTAGCAGTTCCCAAATTACTTGTTGGTCGACCCTGTCCAAGGTCTTTTCAAAGTCGATGAACTTGAGGTAGAGAGTTCATTGCCATTCTACGCTCTAAGAAGTATGTAAGCGAACAATATTGTTTTGAATTATATCCTTATAAGGATTTACTCTAATACAACTACCAGCTATATATATAAGGGATTCGGTTAATTTTTCATTAGAACAATATTGTTTTCAATTATATCCTCATCAGAATTACCTGAATGTCAATTATGATAAGTTGGTTGGTTGTGGCTAGCAGAAGAATCCATCTTGACGCGTTTCGTCTTATTTGGGACTCATCAGTCAGCTGGATGTACCTGCACTCCCGTGATGTTCTCCCCACTGAGACTCGAACCTCGTACCGATCGCTTCAAACGCCAAGGCGTTATCCACTATTCCGTAGAGGAACAATAGCCACTTGTTATTCTCCGTTGTTTTGTTCGATCGAATTGTTCGACGTCTATTGGCATAGGGGCTCTTATGCGAATGCCTCGATTTTGCCTGAATATTAATTATGATAATTTGGTTGGTTATGACTAACAATAACAATCCAAGACGCACGTTTCCTCCTATTTGGGAAACATCAGCTGGATATGCCTGCACTTCACTGAGTCATGTTGTTCCTACTGTCACTCCAACCGAAAAGTTATCGCTTCAAACGAAAAGGTGTGCTGGTATATCCATCTGACGCGCCTCCTAGATTCCTCTACTAGCCACAACTAACCAAATTACCATGATTTGATAAATGTTTTCAAAAATGATGATAATGAAGATGATCATAAGAACCAAGAAAGCAGGATGAAAATGTAGACACTCCACCAGTGATCTAAGTGGGTCAAAAACTGACTTGTGAAAATAAATTCTCAAAGAGCTGCATCTTAAATCTAATATGAATGTACATTTTGTCTTTAACAGTTCTGGTTATAGACAGATTGATGGGACAGATATGGGTTGACAACTTGACCCTATTCTAGCTGATATATTTCTTGTCAAACTGGAGGATGGAGCATTGAAATAGGTCATTAATCAGATGACTATGTATCACTAGTATATTGACACGAAACATTTACTATCCTGCATCAGTATGTGGATGCTTACTCTCGTTATTGAAGCCAGAAAGAATAAGCAACAAGGAACTCTGGAAACCAACCAACCAAGAACCTACCACTCAACAAATATGCATTGGAAGGAAGTGGAGATGGATTGGGCATGCACTGAGAACATCATTCGGGGACGTAATGCATGAGGCTAGGCACTTGAGTGGAACCCAGATCGGAAACGATGAGCTGGGCGTTGGAGGCGACGGTGACATGGAGGAGATGATGGGAGGAAGAAATGAGAGGTTGTGGGCTATCGTGGAACCAGGTTGCAAAGATTGCAGAGAAGAGAGTGCACTGAAGACGTGCTACTGAAGCCCTATGTTCCACTAGGAACCCAAGAAACAAATAATAATAATAATCAGTAGGTGGATACAAACGAAGCGTTCAAAGGTGCACCCTTCACTCACTTTCACTTATGAAGAAGGAAATGCAAGTCAACTACACTACCCGAATATCTTCGATTCTAAGCAGAAGAGAAGATGGTTCACTCAACATATGTGTTTACAAGAAGACTACACTTATGTTAAGTGGTCTGAATAAAAGTCTAGGTGTTTGTTACACTGCAATTGTTCCTCTGTGAATAACTAATATCCTAACAACAATTTTGTACATCTCAATCTCCTTTCTACCGCCTATTTTATGTCTACGAAAGAACTAGGAAAATATGTTATGATTTATGAAGGTTAATGTTCTATACACATGCCTTCATTAAACATTCAATGATCTTGACTATTCCTGTACTATTTCTGCATACATATCCATGCCTATTAAGGATATTCAGGAATTCTTTCATTGCTCGTTTGATTTGTATTGTATTGCAATAGTAAAGCTTGAAAGATGTTGACGTGAAAAATAATTGGAATAACAAGTTCCATTTACAACTACATTTAATATTGTAATGTATTCTAGCAATGAATTTCTTTCAGTATAACGAAGAGGTGAATAGAACTAAAAAAGGAGGAAGGATTATGAAATGGATAAAAACTATTTACAAGTCACACTCCACTAAACAGAATATTACCATCCGTGAAAATGTAGAATAACTACCGTTTCCCTTTGTATTGCCTCTATGTATACACATCTCAGTCATCATCATCATCATCCATATCAACATAAGACCAGGTGTTAGTGAGTAACACTCTAACTTACCACACTTCATATCACTGCGTCAAGTAACAAAGACAGTCAGGTGAAAGATGATGATAAAGGAATACAATCAAAAGAAATATAAAGTAAGAGAAGAAAGAAAGGAGGAATGGTAAGATGATGAGATTCCGTATAGCATCATTAAGATGAGGATAGTGTGTGTGGGGATGCATCTGCGCCACTGACATTGGTTCTCTGCCATGGGATCACCTACAGTCTCCAACCACTCTTTCCTCTTGTTCCGCAGACAGCAAACACCTAGTCTGCATTGCCCCCATCCTACATACCTCAAACCAAGAGACAGAGACTTCATGCATTAGTGCCATGTTTTAGTCTGGATACGTCGAGCCTTTTTCCAGCCTCTACCTACTTCGACCAACATTGTGTGACGAGGTAATCTGTGACTAGACGTACGTGACATGTGCCCCAACCATCTCAGTCGATGAAGGTTCATAACCTCGTCAAATGATCTACCTCTACTCCCTAAAACTATATCTGACTTCTGCATTACTCACGCGCTATGGTGACACCACGGAATATGGCCTATACTATGAAGGCGACGGTGGTCAAACACTTAAAGCCTTCTCATGTCTTCCACCTTCGACGGCTATGTTTCACAGTCATACAGTAGAATAGAGCAGACTGCTATGCAGTACACACGACTCTTAATGGAAAAACGGATTAACGTCAGCAGTAGTAGACGATGTTGTTCTAACGGTGGCTCAAATCAAGAATATATCGCTTCTACTAGAATAGAGATGTGCGATGGGCATAATTTGATTCTCAACGATAACAAGTATCCTATGAATTCTGTTGCTATCCATCACCATCATACTTCAAATGCGTTGGGGTCAATCGAAAAAAGATGACTGATTTTTGGTATGAGAATAAAACCGAAATGGTCTTTCCCCTTAACAACTATGAAATGTTAAGGTTATCAGACTTACACTTCAGTATCATATTTGCAGGACTCGACGTTTCTTGACCATATTCATTCATTGCTTGACAGGTATAAATTCCTTCATTCATAATGTTAAAGGATTGACATATAGATGTTAAATTATTGCTTTGACTTGTTTTTTCTGAATTTTCCTCCATATTAAATGAGAATGATGAATGATCCAGTCCCCAGATCAACTCACTTGTTGTCTCCCATGTATATAAACCTGTCGCCAATTCAATACACTTTACACTGGTGAATATTTTCTTCCATGAACAGGAAAACTGTTGAAAAAAGTCAATCGTATTAAAATGTATTATATATGTAACATCAAAATCAGGAGAGGAAAAGAAAGAGATACGCCTTCACTAATCTGAAATAAATGTGAAGATCTATTGCGCTGCGCCGCGCTCAGCATGTGGAACAACATCCGAATTTCCAACACTACTATCAGTCAAATAATTCAGTACTTCTAGGTGATGGTTGACAGACACGGTGCCTTACGAAAACCATTTCCAACAGACTACAGATATACATCATCAAAAGATGCCACCTACGTTCACTCGATACTGAAGATGAGAAGGCCAGAAAGCATAAGCAAGGAGGAAATGTGGCTCGGCATCGGACAAACGAGGTAACAACCTATCACCAAACAAATTTGGGGACATCATGTGTCTGGCCAGGCCAGGTCAGATCCATCGAGTGTAAGCCGAATGGGAAAGAACGAGTTGGGCGTCGGAGTGTGACATGGATAAGATGGTGTATGAGGAAGAAATGAAAGGTGATGGGCAGTCGTGTAGTCAGGTTGGAAAGACTGGAGAGAAGAGAGTGAAATGGTGACGTGCTACTGAAGCTCTATGTTCCACTAGGAACCCAAGGGATAAATAATAATAACCGTGGTGAATTTATGATATTAATAGTGACTGGTGGTTTAGGTAGACGAGGTTGCTTTTGATATATCCTGATTATATTGAACCGAAATGAATGCGGAAATGAGAAGTAAAATTCACTAGCTTATGTAGCAGAAGAAGAGAGGCTTTTCACATGATGCAGGAGTGAAATTTGGAAACTATGTTGGACTGTATCATTATTATTGTTGATGTATTAGATATATCACACAGGAGAGCAGTATTATTTACTGGGTTACGTTTCGTGCATCATTTATTGTCCATAGTCATATCAGGTTAACTAGACAACTTCACCCTATTTATGATATGCGTAGTTCCATATACTCGGAAAAGGTCATGGATTCTCCCTGTTGCAAAGATTCGGTTATCAATCTCCCCTTCAACCCCTTTCCCGTTGTATGGTTGTATCAAGTTATATTTCTAGCTATGATCGAGTTTTTTTTCTGAAGTCTTTGTCTCAATAGGACCAACTAATTTTTATCTAGCTAAGGTTTTGTGCTTGGATTGTCTAATCCAGCTTGATTGACTACTCTGACCTATGTATTTGACCTCACAATCTGTCTAGTTGAATCAGTAGGATCTTTCAGCCTATAAAGCTTATTTCTAAATGAGTTTGCAGATGTGAGTCCCAAGTTATATCCTGTAGGTGCCTTACATGGTAACACTGAAGAGGTTTTGAATTGTCTCTTCAACTAATATCACTCCATGATGAATACTTCCCTAAGAATAGGATACGTATAAACCTAATACTACAATACATTATACTAAACATTACTGATATACTTCAACATAGATGTCCCAAAGTTTCAATGAAAAGTTATAACTTGTGAAGTTAACCAGTCAGAAGTGAAGTAGATGTCGATTGAAGACCTCAGTGGCTAGTCGCGTTGTACAGTGAATTGATAGAAGTAGTAAATTGTGATAGCATCCACTGTGGAAAGTGAATATCCCCATTTCGATCCCTTTCACAAGTGTAAACTACTGACCAGCCTCCTACTAGAACGAAAAGGCTGTCTAGTGTTCTCAGCTTTTCCTCCATAATGAATATTGGCTTAAATATCAAGAAATTTCTAGAAATGTTAATAATCAGACAGTAAAAAAAGCACCAATGGAATAAATATGCTTACATTATTTGAATTTTTGACCGTTGTACTGTAAATCATGTCACCATTATGTATCCAAGTAATTTGAGGCGCTGGTTTACCATGAGCAATACATCGAAGTCGAGGATATGAATGTGAATTGAAGGATGGATTCCATATATGATCAATATTTGGTCCTTCAATTATCTCTGGTGATTCTATATACAATGTAATGTAGGTAATTTTTGCAATGTAAATGTACATACATACACACACACACATGTATACACATAGATATCATAATGAAGAAGAGATGGAGAAGACTATCTGAATGATTCATTATTCTATAGTTATTAAGAGAAACTTGACAAACATCAGTCCTCTTTTTCATTAGAATCCAATGAAATAATAATACTTATGAAATATAGAATGATTCTAGTTATTACTATTTATTGATGTCTCCTTGTTATTCTCCGTTGTTTGTTGTGTTGGATCGAATTGTTCAACCACATCTATTGCCATATGGACTCTTATGCGAATGCCTCAATTATAGTAATTTAATTTTTTAAGGGGGTTGTGGAGATTTGGAAATATTTCAAGTTGTTATTCATCGAAGACTGACATCAGTTGGAGGAACAAAGGAAACCTGGGAGGACTGGACAGCTGTTTCGTCCTAGTATGGGACTCCTGAGCAGTGCGCACCCACGACCCCATCAGTTGGTTGTGGCTAGCACCCACCCTATTTATTGACTGATTGAGTGTTAAGGCATACATTGCAATAGCCAACTTCTCTTCTAGATTATGGATTTTATTATGTCTACCTGTCCGGTAAAGTTTGTCTCTAGGTGAGTTTCTAGGGTACCATTTAAATCGACAACCTAACTCAGAGAATAAACTTTGTCGGCTGTCTTAATACATCCTATTAAAGAATTTGAAATATAATTAGTCCCTTTTATGAAATTGGATAATGTAATTAGAAGATGTAGAGATTATTATCTGAACAATGTGTCATGTGTATTAGCGCAAAATACATTTCGAACAATCTGATCCCGAACACATTTACTTGAATACTGGAAGTGGACGAAGGACAAATATGACATGAAGGAATTCAATATTAAGCAAGATAATGAAAGGAAAAGCAGAAAAGATAAGATTTGAGGACAATCTTGGTAATACGATAAAATAAGTATTACCAAGGTAGGCTTAATGTAAGGACACACACACACACACACAATGTGGGTTAAATTTATTTATGGTTAGCGCCTCAACAGGCTGTTCTAATATCAATCCTGTGACTGTTATCAATGATATGTTTTGCAATAGATGTGGATGATGGTTGTCTGCCATCTGCCTTCGTAGCCTTTTTGGAACATATCCTCCTACTCTCTACATCTTCTAATTACATTATCCACATTCTATTAAGCAAAATAATGTAATCTATCATATTTCATATGATAACTATCAGGTCAGTAAGTACGTAAATAAGACTAACCGGTCAAGGTCAGTCAGATCAGCAGAATATAGAATGACAGTCCCCTATAAGATTAATAATCTAAGAGAAATACTCAGCTGTTTCGATGCCTCCATTAATACACAACCACAAAGCCACTGTCAAATATGATTAGGTGGGCAGAGAGGGGATGGATTACTGAATCTTTATTCACCAAATTAGTCAACACCTAACACATGTAATACACCGATCTGTATCAGAGATGTTTACTCCCAATTGTAAACAAAGCATATGAGGTGAATGATGGAACTGTAAAAGTCAGACATTTAAAGGAGAATGCGATTACATTCAGGAATGAATAATTTATGCTCATCAAGTGAATAATACTACACGGTTCAACTTGTACACTTTTACTAGTTACCATGGCAATTGTTCAGCTTACCATTCAATGTAATATTTATAGGATCACTCATTGAATGTCCAACTTCATTTTCTACTTCACAGTAATACAATCCATCAATATGTGAATCAGTTAAACTGATTACAATTTGATCTGTATATTGTGAAGATTTTCGTTTAACTTCATTTGGAGTCAACGAGTTCAACTCTACTGATTTCATTGTTCTACAAGAATGAGGTATCCATAACCATTTAACAGAAGGAGTTGGAAGTCCTACTGAAAATGAAAGAAACAAGAAGACACATACGAAGCAAGAAATGTTTACTGTCAACAAATAGGACTAGTAGTCGTTCAATATGGTACATGCACCTTGTAGTAAAAGCGTCATTTGCAAAAATATGCTTCATTTCCTATTCTGCTTCTCTCTTGATTTGTTCTTCATACCCCTGTCTTGTCTGTTGCGTTTCTCTTAGCGGAAACCTTTACCTATTGCTGGTAATTCCCTACGATTTCCGCCAACCTGCCAACATATACTACTTATATCTGTTCTTATCAACAACACCCATTACATCACTAGTGTAGAATTAAAACACCCATTATCACCAAAAGGATTAAATCTGTAGCATAATCTACAGCTTTCAATTCTTAAGAAAGAATAGAGGGGAAATTTTCATTCATTATAATAGGTCTCAAAAAGGCAATATCCTCCGTTCAAGAGACTGACCAGTCCTAGAGTATCTTCAACGCTGAGGGTAATTTAGCTTATTCTCGAAAATTTGTGGTTCATAAACTATTCTGTTAACAGCTAGATTATACATTTCAGAATGTTTTACATCTTCAAATATTTCGTGGTAGTGATAAAAACATTCCATTTTGACTATGTAAGATAACAGTTGTGGTTTGGCAGACTGTATGATGATTGAAGATGGAATGAAAATATGGACAACGTCTGGATTGTGAACCAGTGACCACCTCTCTAGTTCAGTTAGATTTCAATTGATATGAGAAGTCCTGACTAAGCAACCAGTCAGTGTGAGTACGATCAAATGGTAGTACCACATCACAAATTCACAGAGTAGTCAGGCAGAACCCACCTTGGTGATTTAAGCCAAATAAAAATGTGAATAACATTGTTACATGCATCGAGGTTATGAACCTTCATCGACTGAGATGGTTGGGACACATGTCACGTACGTCTAGTCACAGATTACCTCGTCACACAATGTTGGTCGAAGTAGGTAGAGGCTGGAAAAAGGCTCGACGTGGCCAGACTAAAACATGGCACTAATGCATGAAGTCTCTGTCTCTTGGTTTGAGTCACGTAGGGTGGGGGCAATGCAGACTAAGTGTTTGGGGTCCGCGGAACAAGAGGAACGAGTGGTTGGAGACTGTAGGTGATCCCATGGCAGAGAACCAATGTCAGTGGCGCAGATGCATCCCCACACACACTATCCTCATTTTAATGATGCTATACGGAATCTCATCATCTTACCATTCCTCCTTTCTTTCTTCTCTTACTTTATATTTCTTTTGATTGCATTCCTTTATCTTCATCTTTCACCTGACTGTCTTTGTTACTTGATGCAGTGATATGAGGTGTGGTAAGTTAGAGTGTTACTCACTAACACCTGGTCTTATGTTGACATGGATGATGATGTTACCATGCATATTCTACGACTTAAAACATTGAAGCCTTTGTTGTTAAGGTGATTGTTTTGGAAAAAAAGAGAACATTGTTCTCTTGAATCATTACTATGAAAAGTCAAAAAGCTTATAAACTCTAATCAGAGTATATAAAGTAGCGTTACTCCCTCCACCTAATTTTGGAGATATCAGGTTCTCCTTATCATTCATTCTATCACACAGTAGCTAAGTGATATACTGGAGTTTGTTTGTAGCACTAAGGATATTGACATCACCGATAAACTTCTGTTTTCCTTAGATGTTACTTCATTGTTCACCAGTGAAACTGTTTCTTACATATCGTGATTTCATCAATTGACAGAGCTATTGATGAGATGTATTTTTAATGTGTCCCCACTGGGACCTCTAATAGCAGATTGGTCTATATTAAAATTAGAAAATTCTATTCTTAGACAACTAAAAACCATCGATGGATGATATATCCGTTACTTGTCACTCAAATATCAATCTGGATGACATTCTATGCGAGTTAGATAATTGTCACTCAGTGTTGGAATTCACGGAATTGGAATCAACTGTTCTTTTCCTTAACCTGCTGATTACTAAACGTAGCAATGGAACGCTGAAAAGATCCATCTACAGCAAAACGTATACCTGGATGTCAATCATGAGGAAGAGAAACCTTATCCGCTCATTCTCCTATCGAATATGTAATTTATTTGTAGCACAGACTGTATCCAAGTTGAACTTGACATTCTAAGAGGGAAGCTCACAGAAAACACCTATCCTAGCCAAGAAACAAACATATAAAAAGGTGTTAGATAAGCTTATCGCAACACCATACTTACTGAAATCCAATGAAATGAGAATAACTTACACCTAATATTCTGTACACATTGTAATTTGATAGATAAATTTTCATTAGTTTTACCCCCGATGATATTTTTTTAATTGTCGGTTTACCAGGTGGATCTAAATTTTACAAACAATAAAAAAAACAAACAAACCAACTAACAGAACACAAAAACAATCAAGTTAACAGGTTGTTAGTTAAAGCAAAGTTTCATTGAGTAAATGAAATAATTATCGCATCGTATAACTAATCACAGAGATTTCACTAACCAAATTCCTTTTTCCCTAATTATTAGTTACTATTTAACGTAGTCGAACAAGTAAAAACCGGTTAGATTCCCAGTATTCACCTACCTACCTACCTGTCTGTCTGTCTGTCTGTGTATACATATGTAAATATACTGCATCTGGGGATACTGTAGGGGTTGTTTAGACAGAAGGGTTTAGTTCAAGTTGTTATTCATCGAAGACTGACATCAGTTGGAGGAACAAAGGAAACCTGGGAGCACTGGACAGCTGTTTCTTCCTAGTATGGGACTCCTCAGCAGTGCGCACCCACGACCCCACCCCACCAGGGATCGAACCCACGACCTTCAGGTTCCGCGACCAGCGCGTTAACATTGAGCCACTGGGTCAGAATCCAATGCTCCATATTTCCAACTTCTGTTAGCTCACGACATCACGCAAACCGCCACCCAATGTCATCGTTGAGTATTTGTCCTCACGGCCATCAGGCTGGACTCCACCGGGTAAGATCCCTGGTGGGGTGGGGTCGTGGGTGCGCACTGCTGAGGAGTCCCATACTAGGACGAAACAGCTGTCCAGTGCTCCCAAGTTTCCTTTGTTTCTCCAACTGATGTCAGTCTTCGATGAATAACAACTTGAAATATTTCCAAATCTCCACAACCCCCTCAAAATTTAGAAGGGTTTAGTGTCAGTTAATCTCAACACTCCACATTAACTTATGGCAATTTCTAGCCACCTTACAGATAGATAACCCTCATCGAATATTCCTCCATTAGGAATTCACTTCTTATATATGTAAATGCTAGGCAAAGGATTCACAGAAGATCCATTGATGTATTAATAAACTGATACAGTTTAGAAATCATTGAACGAAAATATTTTATATCTTTCTTGTTATACTGAATTAGTCATAGTATGAAATACTTACAAAAAACAAAGAGATGAGATTCACTTTCTCTTCGATATGAAGATAACTGATGATCTCTCATATGAATAGTATTCTCCGCAGCACAAACATAAACACCAGCATCATCTATAGTCACTGTATTGATTTGAAGTATTGGACTTGACCAATATATTCGATGATTATTAATTGTATAATTATTTGTATAATTATATAGATTATTAGTTACTTTAAATAACTTTTCAGTGTTTGGATTAAATTGTAAATTAGTTAAAGATTTATGATTTATCTTTCTATACCAAAATACATTTATCGGAGGTGGATTAGAAATAGCTTCACACAATAATTGAATAGATTCACCAATTCGAGCATAAACAATTTCATTGGTTGTTACAATTGGGGCGACTAACACACGAAAAAGTAGACAAAAATATACAAAAAATCAATCAATAATTCAGGATAATAAGTAGAATAACATTAGTAGAATACCTGGTCGAAAATCCTCTAATCTCTCTATTTCGTAGTGATATCTTTGGCTTCAGACTAATTTTCATCACTGTCATGTGCACCTTTATCTTCTTCCATCTAAGCTCACCTCTAAACAGTTGGTTCTGGATACTTCTTCAAGTAAATTTTGTAGTCAGTACAAAGAAGTCATCCAGATGTATTATGATTGATCTACTCCTGCATATTTTTGTGCTACTCTATCAAATTTCACCTGCTGCTCACTTTTATTATTCACTTTTCAGGTTTACCTAACCACTTGTATATTCAAATGGAATCCTAGAAATCTTATTTGTTAGTGTGCACCATGCCATCAAAATCTTATGATGAATGCATACATCCCAAGGTCATGACTGTACTGCATGCTTCACCTTCAAGAATATTGGAACATTCAAACAACAACCGAATAATTCCTAATTTCGAACTAACCATGTTTCAACACACCTCTTATATACCATGAATAACAATATCTAATGTATAGCTTAACATTGTACATAGTAGTCATTTCTCATTACCATAATGATCAAACCTGTAAACTGGTTTGTAATCATGTAACCTATATTATATAGGTACATAGTCAAAATACTTGATACTATTACACATAATTTCATAGATAAGGGTACCGTGTAGATTTAGAGGTAGGTATTTATCATGCACTGACATCAGTTGGGGAACCACTGAAAATCTGGGAGAACTGGACAGCTGTTTCGTCCGACTAGTATGGGACTCCTGAGCAGTACGCACCCACGACCCGGTTAGGGATGGAACTGAGGACGTTCAGGTTTCACAGCGAATGCGTTAACCATTCAGCCACTTGGTCGGTTTCCAGTGGTTGACAATTTCCAACTTCTGTCAATTCACAACATAGCCCGACTATCAGTCAACGTCTTCAGTTAGTATCCACTTGACTTCCAATTGGTTGACCCCACAGGTCACCACTTCTCATTGCACCTTCCTGATATCCATCTGGAAGCAAGTCACTAATGAACACTATACAGTAATGTATTTTTGAGATAAATGGGGATTTTTCTTAATTTAGAAGTAGTGCCGTGTAGATGTTTATATCTACTCTCAGTAGTCAATCCTTGTAGGTGTGTATGTGTGTGTGTACAGGGGGATAGAAGGAAATGAAAGTGTTGTCGCATGGTGACAAAAGTGCAAACACAAATCATATTTACATTTATCCAGGTGACCGAGAAGGAATTCATTGTAATTGTATCTGGGTTGAAGTTGAAGGCCATGGAAGGGAAAAGGATTGTTATGCCTTGTGCTATACTTAGCAATTGGAGGCTCACAAACTTGAATTATTTTGATGGGACTTTGTAAATTATAGTAAATACTGAGTTTTTGTCAATCTTACCAGTGCTGAGTATCTACTAGATGGGTGAGTATTGAGCTTTTGATGGATTTCACTGTTCCTTTGACTAACCACACTGGACAGTGTTCAATGAGACGACGATGAGCTTTCTTAGTCGTACTTCCACCTATGTCACTATCACCACGTGGACAGATTCGGAAGCCTATCCTTCAACTACATGGGCATCATACAGAGAGTTGTATATTTCATAGTGTGGCGGGAAAGAAGGTTTTCTGTAGCAGATTTCTGAGTTTCAGTGTCACTGTTTCTCCAGCTACATCTCCTTTGAACATAAGGTTAAATACAATGGTTCCTTCAGCACCATTTCTAGGCGTTTTTCTCCAGTTGTTTTCATTGTTATAGGCTTTACGAACTTTTCAGAATAGCCCTTCTCTTATAAGAAGTTCTCTATTATTCTAAATTTTATTTTTCTCCCTTAGTTTCATAACTGATTAAGAATTTCACCATTTTATTGTATAATCGCTAAGCAACAATCATTTTATTTCTCTCTATTCCACCACACACACCTACAAGGAATGACTATGCTGAGTGAATGTAAAGCCTGAAGAGAATTTACCGAAAATACGTATTCCCTTCAAACTCTGTCTTCGTATATATGAATATATATACACACACCAATGATTGATTCCCAAGCCTAATGTTGTCATTATTAACAACAGTGTATTGTTGATGTGTAATTCCCCACCTCCAAGTTGAGTATGGTAGAGATTGTGCAATAGCATCACATAGTGTGAAACTGGACAACTGTTCACTTCGCAATCCCTGAAGCTTCTTCAGAGGGAGGCAGAGGAAATCAACGTAGAACCTTACACAAAACTGCATCACTCCAAGTCAGTCATCACACTTCACAGTAATATACAAAAGACAAGTCGATTGAAAAACAGTGATATCAAAATGAAGCAATTTGAAGATAAAAGTTGTCAAAGAACGAATTCATACATGTTGGTCGACTCCTCTGAAGACTGTTGCCTGTTAGAAACGTCACAAGTTACACGTAACACTTAACTTATGCTTGATATGTCATCAAGTAGACAGTAGTCTTTCATTGTTTGCTATATAGAATAAACATATATCTATCTATCTATCTAATATGAGATATACCAGTGATCGTAGGAGTTTCAGTGGGACTGAGGTAAGCATGACATCAAAGATGAATTTACATCAACCAATCAATTACAGTTTATACTTTCATATAGAATAAAAAAGCTACATTATCTCCATATTACTGTAATAAGGTTGATTAACTCAAGTGGTATTGTATAAAGTGGAAAGTTGTGTAGTCCTACCCACCTGGTCATATTCAGTCCTGGTTCATAAGATGTATGCGACTATATTAACGAAGTCAGCTGAGTACACAATGAAGCTAAGCATGTTGGTTGTATTGTGTTCTCTGAGTAGAACCTTTCATCGTCTTGCTAGACGATATCATCAGCACTTCCTCTGACGATGTGGTCTGTGATTGGTTGTTATCTTCGATTGTTGTGTAACTGATTGTATAGACTTTCCTGTTGACTATTCCTCTGCTTGACCTCTGACCTTTCTATCGTTTATCACATCGTCAAAACAAACCAGTAAGTTACTGACGTAGAGATATTGACAGTGCACTTCATACTGAAGTTAGTGCTGATTATGTCACTGTCTAGCTCCTCAGAGAACACAATACAACCAAGACCATCCACCTGAGCTATAAATATTCTCCATTATTTCGAAGCTAAGCATCTGGTTACGTTTTAAAGCTTACAGTCAGACTTATTACACCAACTAAGACATTTGAAATTATTTCTCAATTGGAAAGTCAGTCTGAGACAAGAATAAGAGTTATGTAATAAATAGGGTATATATTTGATCATGTGAATGATTCAATCCGTTGAAATGTCTCAAGTTAAATCAGTCAGTCATAAATACTTCACCAGTAGACAGTGATAAAAAGTGATTCAGTGTGTTTTCTTCTACACAACTAGCCTGATTACTTTAACTCTCATGTCATTTCTTTCTGTTGAAATAAATGTTTAGTTACACTTGTGACATACTTATCAATTTTTAATGTATATTTTACCATAGCAACTTATCTAGAGACTATTGATGTAACCAATGTCAACTTGACCTTGTTACTCGAAGACAAGTTAGTGTAAAATTACTGAAAGTGGAATCAACAGGAAAACTATGTGACTTGTTGATGTTCATTTCAAACTGCATCATCTTACAGAGACTAAACAATGAACTGGATTGAAAAGTAAGACCGGAACAAACTCCCTGGCTGGCTGGGTTCAGGAAGAACAAATCATATGCGGATCAAATTTCAACGGTACGCTGTGGATCATCATAGAACAGAGTATAGAATGGCAGTCAACTCAACTTTATCGATTTTGAAAAGGTCTTTGACATCGTCGACCGACAAGTGATTTGGCAGTTATATGAAAACGCCACATGCCAAGCGATCCACAATGGGAAGCTCAGTTCAGTGACGCCTTTGAAGTGAAGACAGGAGTAAGACAAGGCTGCTGCCTGCTATCGCCCATAATCTTCCTCATTGTGGTCTACTCGACTAGATCGTGCAGCAAACAGTGAGGAGCAAGAAGAGGGGCATACACTGGCTGGACCGATAAGAAGACCTCCGGAGAAGATTTTGATTTCGCCTACGATGATTTATGTTTAATGTATTATGTCGCACAAACTCGAAGATCTACAGGCGAAAACTTACAAGTTGACAGAAGAGGCAGGGCAACGAAAACGGCATTTACTTCACGTGAATGTAGAGAAGACGAAAGTGATGAAGATACACAACCAACAACAACAAGCACTAATCACCATCAATGGTAGAAACATAAAGGAAGTAGCCTATTTCACCTATCTAGTCTAGGCAGCATCGTTTCAACTACAGGCGGCGACGGCGTCACACATCAGGATGTCAAAGCCAGCCACGATCTCAAAGACAACAAGACAGACCTTACTGTATCATTATTCATAGATGTATGTATATAAAAATGAAATGTACACAACAGGTGAATGAACAGTCAACTTACAGTAAAATTCTATTGGTAATAATTTCTCAGAACTACCCATTATGTTATTTGCATAGCATGAAACATTTATACGCCAATTATCTTTTGAAAATCTATTCACTTCACCTTTGAATAATGATTCAGTTAAAACAGCTGAATTCAATCTATCTGTCTCTAGGATGTAAAGAAATTTGAAGATATGTAAAACAAGTAAGCATTCATGAAATAAATGAATCTTCACTAAGCATCATTTGTTACATAACTTCGTGAGAGATCAGACAGTCAGTCAGTTAGATGAAATGAGAATGTTGAATGTCACTGGTTGTCTTGTCAGTCAGACAGAATGGCCATAGGATAGTTGCATAACAGTTTAGCCAGGAACATCTTACATCACTACATCAAGGTACATGGTACTACGGTGAACCACAGAGAAATTATTCATATCATAGAAAGTCACTCGAAGTGTTCAGTGAACACTGAATCTTGTAATCATTTCGCGTAACAAGATTTGCTTAGTTGAACATTTTCAGTCTACTAATGAAGTTACTGTTGAGATATCAATCTCTGTGAAGCCAGTCAAGATACCGATACCACTTGATACCATACCGTGAGTTGTCACAAATCCACATGTCTTCAAATAACAGAGTCATCAGTGGAGAGATAAACGTACTCGGAATCCGTTTCATTATTTAGTTAAGGGTATGGTGTGAATGTACCCTTGATTAGATATACAACTTGACTACTTCTCTCAAATTCACTCTTCTCGAGGTTTCCTTCGGCATTCATTGATTACAGAACCTAGAATGTTAACTTCAATGTTTTGTAGACTGATTTTCCTGTAGTTAACACAGAGGGATTTCTTTTCATTTATGAAGGTTTCAACAGTTAGGTGTTGAGACCAGTTCGATGACATTATGGAAATGTTTATCATTTCATCAGTGTGATTGATTTTCAGCTATTGGTTCGGTTTATTTCAGATGCCTCTTGATGTTGAAATGGCTTTTAGACTTGTAAAATACAACAATTCAGAAAGATATGCCGGTAAAGACAATTGTTCCTGGAGATCGTAACTTGCTACAGTAGTCTGATACATAGTGGTAATACCATAAGCAATAATCACTACAGTGTCACATTTCTTCCTGTCCCTCTGTCTTCCTTTCTAGGCTATGGAGGCCTCTTTTATCCAACAGTAGAATAATCAAATCCTGACATAAGTTAGAAAATATTCATCTTTAAATTTCATTTGGTTGACTGAAAATTTACCTTCCGACTGTTAAACCTGATGGTCAACACTTTCCTCCTTACAAAGTCGTTCCCTGTTTATCAAGATATGACAAATGTCCTTTGTTTCAACATAAAACTCATGATATGCACTTACAAAACTTGAAACTTACTCGATATTCTTCTTCTATGCTGATCTATCCAGTATACAATTGGTGGAGGATTTCCTGTTGCCTGACAAGAGATAAAACTCTCTTCTTCATATAATACAATCCATGGTTCTTGGAAGAATTTTGAAATCACTGGAGCGTCTAAAATAATTTTTTATATAAATTAACATAAAGTTTTGCTTGAAATTTTTATTCATCAGTATTCAATTCAAAGAAACTGTTAAATATATATTAGCGTGTATATATGAGTAACTATTAGTGAAAAACTTGGGCACTGAGGTAGAATGTAATTCCATATTAGATTTGCTTATTTTATATATAGCTCACAGTGATACGGTATTATTTACTTGATTACGTTTCGAGCATAAATTATTAATGCTCATAATCATATCAATGATATTGGTAGTGTGGACGTGGAATTTGTAATCTGATGGTGTTACTGGGGAGGGAAGTGGTGGTGATATGAATAAACGGGGGTGTGCTCTTCACTTCATTGTTATTTTAGTCAGTCAAATAGACAAATCTGTCACACACACACACAGATCGTATTCCTTTTCAAAAGAATCAAGGAGTGAATATTTATTTGTTTCAAAATGGAATCTTATATAAAGGTGTATTCTATTCACACCTGTCAACACACACTTGATTCATCTACATTCCCCCCTTAAGGATTATAGGCAAAAGTTTCATTCAATGAAATGTGTATTACACTCAATTGCAGGTTATTTATTATGTAGACGGTAATATTTGCATGTAGATTACTGTCCGTGATCAATCTCACCACAGTAATCAGATTCTCTGAATGGTGGTTGAACAAGATTCCATTAGATTCACCGTTGACTGACTGAGGCATGTTGGCAGATGTAGTTGTTGTGGACTCAGATCAATATCTGTCTGTGTACCACTTGATCACATGAAGTCATCTAAACACATTGAAGTGATGAGTATAGTGGTAGTTGTCTACTTGGAATACCTATTCACCATCAAATAGTAGGTGATGTATGTGATTCACACAGTCGCAGCCTCCCTAATGGCTTCAATGTTCTGGCATTGTTCAGTGTCATCAACAGTGTTGATGTTGTTCTCGAAACACGAAAGTGGCATGTCTATTTCTCACTTCACAGGTTCTTCTTTGACTGACTACTGTTGATGAAGGAGATTTCAGTTTGAAAGAGGATGGATTAAGCTAGATTGTGTATCTCTAATGAAATCCATCTGTGAATGTACATTAATTGATGATGGAAGATGATGAATTTCTTCAAAATGATACACACGTCCACACTACCAATATCATTGATATGATTATGAGCAATAATTTATGCTCGAAACGTAATCAATTAAATAACACTGTATCACTGTGCGCTTTATGAGTAACTATTGTTTATTGAAACTCACATTGAACATTGATTTCATATGGTTCAGACATACTTGATGCAATATTATTTACAGCTTTACATTGAACATTCATACCATCATGCGAAAATGATAATTTCAAGGTGATTTGACTGATTGTTACTCCATATGGTGTATGCGTTGGAAGATAAATGATGGTTGAATTGACAGCCTATAGAAATAATATATATAAATATATGAGAAATACTGATTACTCTATTCTATTCCATTCAATTTATGAATATTATGTAAAGATATTCTATTGCAAAGAAGGTATATCAATCGATTGTTTTGCGGTACGCACGAGGACGTCAAAGACAGTCAAGATCGGAAAGACAGCGAGACAAGAGTTCATTAACCTGAAACCAGTATGAAGATCTTCTGCACTGCACTCAGCATACAGCTTGAATAATATCCGGATTTTAAACACCAACTCAGTCAAGTCTGTCAGTGCTTCTATGTGATGGTTGAGACTTGGCACGTTACAAAAACTATTTCCAACATCATGCGTCAGGCCAGGCCAGGTCGTCGAGTAGAACGCAGACGGGAAACGATGAGTTGGGCGCCCGAGGCAACATAAAACACACATACACAATGATGCACCATCACTAATATATAATTAGAAATCACGCAACTGACTGACTGACTGACTGACTGACTGACTGACTGACTGACTGACTGACTGAATGAATGAATGAATGAATGAATGAATGAATGAATGAATGAATGAATGAATGAATGAATGAATGAATGAATGAATGAATGAATGAATGAATGAATGAATGATTTCAAGTATAAAATATGCGATAGAATAAATACGAATATCAGTGAGCCAGCGGTGAATCCCTCACCCTACCCCACGCCACCCGACCTCTTGAACACAGCCAACTAATTAGCTTACTATGCAACATTTTAAATTCATCATCTTGTCACTCATTACATGATGACTGACTTTGATGAAACTATCAATTGTCTCCTTTCGATACAACCAGACAGGCAGCCAGTGATGATATTCATCATCTGATGATGAGGAGATTCATTACATCCCCCTTTTATCATGTTACACTACAACACCAAAACCCACCCCAACCCTACCTTACCCTACCCATACAAGTTACAATCACCCTAACACCACACCACACCACACTACTAATCTCCCTCCCTCCCCCTACCATATCAGTCTATCATAGATAGTTAGCTGACCTGTTTCAATGTTGCAGCCTGTTATTCATACAAAACTCAATCATCATCATCACCATGCTGGTGCCTGTTCAAATTCGTACATACTTGCAGGCTAGCTAGCCAGCTGGCTAGCTTCACACGACGGTTTAATCTAAGCACTTGTAGGTACTAAGCTAAGCTAAGCCAACGAAGGCTTGCAACGTCTAATTTCACACTACATACACTACTTGTCTGTCTGTCTGTCTGCCTGCATGCCTGCCTGTCAGCCTGTCTATCCATTCTCTCTGGTAAATTATCCAATCAGCCAGTCATTTTATCAGATCAGATCAGATCTGATCAGCTTACTGATTCGATTAAACAACACCCGTACCTCTGTGGAAAAATATCTGGTCCCCATGTCACTGAGTCCAGTCGTCAGTCCACTATTTATTATTGTATATAAACAGCCGCCTTTGCAACTACTTCCATACTACAAAAAAGAAATTGATGTTTTATCACCCACTTACTTCACTCTTGTAAAATGAGTTTTCTACCTTCATACTGATGTCTTGTGAACTAGCCGATGAAATCAATGGTACTGTTGTTTTATTCTGAATTGGAAGAAAAGACCAAATGATTTGAGGTGGTGGAAGACCTCCGGAACTTTGACATGTTAAGTTTAAGTATTCACCCTCCAAATAGTATTTCCTTTTCTCTAAGTTTCTCTTGACATTATAAAGATTGTCATTTGAATTAAACGATGTGATTTCAATTGAAGGTTTATTTGGAGGAACTAGAAGAGAGAAAGTGGGATAAAGTATAAAGGAAAGGATCCATTGAAGATGTCTACAAGAAGATACCTTTCTTGAAAAGGCTACACATATCCCACGGTCATTTGTAAATACTAAATCTAGGATGTTGTCAAGACGAGTAGAAAAATTAACCATATTTTCATCATCCAATGATACAAGGAAGTTGCAGTCACATGAATTAAAATCTCTACAGACTATAGACAAGAGGTTCGCCAGAATCGTAGCCACGAACTCAGTGAATTCATCAGCTAAAGTTGACAAATCTGAGAAACCGCAGTCAGGTGTGACATAAATGTTCGCTATGTATATATGTTTGTGTTTACTCAAATAATGAAAAAGACATTTGATGGTAATAGACTCATTTTTTCCTTAGAAAAGCTAAAGCATACATAGTTGGGAGTGGACCAGTTTGTATTGATAAATGTTGGTACACCACCGCAGCCACCATATTTCTTCTCGGAAAAGCTTCGATCTTGTCGAAATAATTTCGAAGCAATTAAGCAGAACAGTGAGAATAAGCAACAAGGAACTGTGGCTGGCTGGCTGGCTGGCTGGCTGGCTGGCTGGCTGGCTGGCTGGCTGGCTGGCTGGCTGGCTGGCTGGCTGGCTGGCTGGCTGGCTGGCTGGCTGGCTGGCTGGCTGGCTGGCTGGCTGGCTGGCTGGCTGGCTGGCTGGCTGGCTGGCTGGCTGGCAGCGAAGTGAGAACCCATCTCCCAACAAATATGCAGAAGGAAGTGGAGATGGATTGGACATGCACTGAGAAGACCAAGCCAGGTCATCGAGTAGAAGCCAGATGGGAAACGACGAGCTGGGCGTTCGAGGTGAGGGTGACATGAAGGAGATGGTGTGAGGGAGAAATGAGAGCTTGTGGGCTATCGTGGAGCCAGGTTACAAAGACTACAAAGAATAGAGTGGAATGGAGACGTGCTACAGAAGCCCTATATCCCACTAGGATTCCAAGGGATAAATGACAATAATAATAATAATAATAATAATAATAATAATAATAATAATAATAAAACGTCATCAGAGAGGTTATGAAATCATGTTTCCTGTAGCATTAATACACTCGTATCCTAGACAACATTTGTGGATAAAGATGACTGAGGGTGGTCAACTGTCTTCAGTAAAGACCTGTAGTTTACCCTAAGTATTTCTGGTCTAGTCATTTGATCTATAGTCATAAGCTTGAAAGCCTGTCGTCATCCATCTTTGTGTTTTTTCACCTAATTTGTCTATCAGCTTGTACAGTGATAGTTTGTAGTACTTTGAAAAACACGCGAAGGTATATAATGTGATCATATAACATAACTGAATGTTTAAGACAATGTAGAAAGGACTAACTCAGTGGAATATACATTCCATGATGATAAAATACGACAGTCTAATGTTCAAACAGGCCACCAGCGTATAAAATTACTAGAAAATAAGCTGAAACTAATGACAGTGTGACTTACCTTGAACTATAAGATATCTGCGCATTGTGATTGTTTTAACACCGGTCAACATTGCACATTGATAATTTCCACTATGATATGATTGAGCATTTGTAACAGTTAAAACTCCACTCGGATAGACATGTATACCAGGCATCTGAATTTGTTCTCTATTTGTATAATGTAAAAAAAAAAGAAAATAAAAGTCAAGTTATAAAAGTGTACACGTTTGTTCTGTTCTATTCTGTTGTATACCGCGCATCACAATACATGTAACTCCGCCAATGTTATACTGGATGGAATTGGTCGACCACTGTTGTTAGATGCGCTTCTATATGGATGTCTCAGTACTGCTAGCTACTCACATGATATTGTATTGGTCTCGGTAATTCACAGTGGAATCCAGGATGTGCATTTCGTCGTATTTACAACGAACTCATCAGTCGGATGTACCTGTAACCCAATGAGTCGTGCTGTCCCCACTGAGACTTAAACATGACAGCAACCTTCGTTATAATTACTAAGTGGAATAGGAGTAAGCCAAATAATTTGTGTTTTCCAGTAGACACAATGACGAAGAATAGGCAGTTAGATTCACTCCTTTCCCCTTGACATCAGGAAAAAACACTCAACATCTATACACCCCAGCAACAGACGGTAACCAATACTTACTGTGAAAACACAAATATCAATCAGCAACAAGACGTGGCTTCCTTAATCACTAGCCTAGTGAAAAATGCTATGTCGTTTGAAGTGATATGTGTTGGCTTGATGTCGTAATGGGAACAATTCTGCCATCCCCTTCCCTCCCTTCGGTTTGTCATCCTCTCCCCCTCTTATCCTGTCGCCTACCCCGCCTACAACGGATCACAAGGTCGGTGCTGTTGCTGCTCCTGCTTACTGTCTGTATGACAGGCGATCTTATTCATCTGTACACTATGATAAGGAACTGAATGACTTAACAGAACACACACAAACACCAACAAAATAGGCATACAGGTCTGTGGCAAGAACCCTTGTCACAGACACACACACAAATACACACTGACGCACTCATTCAGCTAGTACGGGGTTTTCTCAAATAGGATAATATACAAAAACGGTTCAGTGGTCAATCAAAAGCATTTCAAACCACCCACCCACCTAACAAGCGACTAATCTATGCAATCATTATTTACCTGGTCAACACTAAAATCACATTGAAAATGAACACTCTTCAAAATGAGAGAGAATAGCTTAGGTTATATGACCAGTGATGATTTTTTGAGGAAGAGGAGAAGAAAATTCACAGTTTCTCCTTTTTCCACTGATCATTCACTGATGGTTAGGCTAACTAGAATATAATATCCAACTACAAAATCCATTTTCACACTACTAAATTAATTACATGACAGACAGACACTTGACCTGTTTCACAGTGTGGGTGATGACGACGATGATACCTGTCCAAATCGGTGCGCAATTTCATCTGAACCTCCTTCCGTGTCGATTAACACAATCGGTAAAAATCTGTGTCATAATGTTCAAATGAACGTGATATACACACATATATCAATACCAACACACAAACATACGCCAGTGAAATCATCAACATCATCATAGTGTTATTGTTAGTAACTTTAATATGAATAAGACTCTTCATCTTCGTCTCCTTCTTTCAGTCAGTAGCTAGCACTACGGTCAAAACTTGATTTCTAATCTCTTCTTCTCACTCTACTCTGTGTTTGCTCTGACGATAGGAGATTCCTTTTCTCTCTCTGTAAACAATCTCATTCATCTGTCTTATCTACTATAGTTACAACAGTGAAGGCCACTAGTCTAATTTAAAACGGTGGAGTCAATAGGCATAGAATAGAAATTCTTTTCCTAAATCTTCAATGATTCAACTGCTAGCCGCGATCCATCATTAACTTAATTGGAAGGCAGGCAATTTCGAGGCATCAGCACAGGAGCCCATATGCCAGAAGAGACCGATGAATTTGGTCCAAGAAGTGGCTATCGTGGCTCGGTGGTGTAGTGGATTACGCTTTGGCGTTTGAATCGATCGCTCCCGACTCCGAA